CTACATATACGAACTGACTTTAAGAGACATCCCTAGTCGCATGTTTCCTCCAAACTTTCAGTCTGATATGTCGTCAAGTTCACACCGAATGCCAACCCTAAACACATGCGTTGATTGTTGGCAGACTATGTTGGCGCCAACTGTCTCCGTTCTCAGGATGTCGCACCGGTAATTAAACATTCCTCAGCCCCTCTTCATATTAACCCGTTTGAAAATTCTAACAATGTCGTACTCTAGTCGCTTCCTATGAAAATGTTATGCCGTAAACAATGCGTTATATAGCCCTCATACCAGCGCTAACTGGATATTTTAAGCTTTCATGTTAATACTGGAGTATTAAATACCACACCTAACATTCAGTTTTTGTACGTGGAAATATTTTATGCAGGTATTAATTGAATATTAATGCCAATATTGTATACATTCAACATAGGTATCTAGTACGTATAATTGTATTATATTCATCGATAAGGCCATAATATAAACTGGTCCTTATTATTATGGCAATATTAAAAAAATGTTTTTGAAATTACGGTCGTATGTATTTTTATATATTTTTAATTTCTTTCTAGAAAACAAACAAAACAAGACCAATTATGCGATATTGTTTTTACACTCATTTATTCAAATCTAGTCATATCAGGCGACTTTCCTCTGGATTTAAAGTATCCTGTATACTAATGTAAAATATCGTCTATCACTGTACCTAATGCCTCCATATGTTTGTTTTTTAGTTCAATATTACTATCATTAGGTATTATTTTTAGGTAACATTTATTAGATATACAAAATTACATTTGGAAAGTAAATAATTTAGGTAAAATTTTCATTTCACAGTATACAAAGATGTATTTGAAGCGAATTGCCTTAATTATTAATTCGCCGAGTTAATTATCTAAATCACCTTAAGACGCTGAGATTCTATACCTAATTCCCACCACCGTGTTCCGCATGACTTACCATGGGAGTCACGTCAATACGACAGGCGTTTAACGATGGAGGGGAAAGGAGAAATGAATAGATGCTTTTAGCTATATTACGCTGACGCAGGCGGTTAGGTAAACGACTGTTAAGGCGGAATTAATGCCTGCCTCCTAAGTGAGTGCTCATATGGCTCACCTCAATCATAATAACACCATATGAGGGCATTAGCATCTTACAATTTTAACAATGTCGTTTTATAAATAGATCTTTTAAAACCATTTTGTTTTGTTATATGCGAAATATAGTAAAACATAAATAAATGAAATTATTTTGTAAGACTTTAAATTAGTCCTGTATAAGTATTAAAAACCGGAACAGAATTTAACTATACCTATATAATAGTTTCTCCTCAGATGAAAATCGAATCTGTACCTTATAAAGATCTATTTCTAGTAAACGATTATGATAAGAAAAGCATACATTCAACTGGCAATTCTTTCTATATAATTAAGAGTATTTTTTATGGATGATATCAAATATATATATAAGATGAATAGAACGGTAATCCTGTCTGCACTATCAGTATATGCTGGCGGGGTACCAGTGAGAGATGATAGGTAAGGATGAAAGCAGGTCAGTGAGCCCATCGTGACAAATTCAATAAGAATTAACCACGATGGTTTCCAGGGGAACCGCGAGGAGGTCAACCTGATATTGTTAGCAATAGGGCTGGTAGACCCCATTACTAACAATTCCTTCCTCCCCAATGAAGAGTATTGTTAACCGTTGACGTGCACCTAATTGTATAAAAATAGTGATTTAGTAAGTGTACACGTACCTAGATATTCTCCACGAATTAACAATCACTACATATATTGTAAATTTTTTGCAATAATCAATCTTTAGGTAAACATTAGCCTCAATATTGTACCTGAAAAAAAAAACTGCAGTGGTTTCGAAGTACGTTTACGCTACATCACATGGCGCATGTTGCCTTCTAGGTGTAAAAAATATAGATCGTTTACAACGCTATCGCTCAAGCCTAGATAGACTTGTTTAGACATGAAGTCGTTTACCATTTGTCTAAACCCCTAGGGACCCATATATATATGAATACATGTATTGGTATTTATTTTATTGTATTGTCATGGGCGACGGTTACCACTTTTTATCAGGTGGGCCGTCAGCTTGTATGCCATTCGAAGTTGTATAAAAAAAATGGGTTTCGATCGAAATACAAAAACTAGATACTGAAATATTAAGATTATTTAATTATTAGGTAAAGTATATTTTTCTAGCAGATACTCGTATACTCAGACAGAGAGAAATTTTATGAATCAAATACTTAAAAACGGCACAAAATTTTAAGCCTTCCATATTATGTCTATAACATAGATAACGGGAAATTAACAAACTCACCGTGTTTGCCGTTTCAGACAATTGTTTCAACTTCATCCGGATGTAGCTTAACAGGAACTTAACAGTTGAACGTGCATACTGTAATATGGGATGTTGAAAATGTTTTGTCCTTTCAAACCCATGATTCTTTATCGAAAATGTTCAGTATTACAGGTAGGGTATTCCTTTAGAAAAATATTTACAATTTCAATTTAACCCTACATCTAATATCCATAAGATCTAATCTTAGTAAATAGGAATTTAATTTTTTTTAATTTTCATGAATGACGAGTGAAAAGGATAATCAGAAAAAAATAATACTTAATGTTATTTCAATTTTGACTTTCAAGGAGCAGAAACATTTTTCCTGGTTCTTATTTTTAAAATCATCTTTGCGCCAGCTAGATGAATAAGTAATACTAAGAGAAAGTTCTTATTTCTTCATTTCGAGAAACTGTAAAAGAAAAATGGTATCCGAGGTTACAGAAACTGTAAAAGAGTATAGTTTTCTACGCTGTGGAAGGTAGAATTTACCTTACAACTATTCTAAAAGCACCCAACTATTTATCCACTGTATAAGTTTTAAACATTTTTAATGGAGTAAAATCAAAGTTTAATAACCATCTACTGCTTCATTATTGATAAAGGAAGACTTGTAAAAAAGTTTTTACGGCTTGCTTTCAGTTGTTCGTCTAACATAATAATTGCTTTAAATTTTGAAGTCCCTGCCTTTATGAAGTAGACAGCGATAAGAGGGATTATAAAAGGAAAGTGGGGGCGAAGTGTAGATAAGAAAATAATGGGCCGACGACGAATAGGTACTGAGTAAAATGACTGAAAATTTATCTAGTTTATTATTATGCATCAACTTTTTTTTTCTTGCGACAAAAATTCAAATTAATATGTAGATATATTCTCAGAGACCCAAACTCCAGTGATATAAAAGAAATTAAGTACTACAATCGTAAAAAAATTAATGTATATATATATATATATATATATATATATATATATAAAATACATATATTTTAATTTTTTAGCTTTCACTTTTTTTTTTATATACAACTTAGAATGGCAAACAAGCTGACGGTCCACCTGATGGAAAGTGGGAACCGTTGCCTATAGACATGAGCAGTACCATGGATATAACAGAGTATACTGTTTCGCCCATGATACCCCCCATGCGTTGCCACTCCTGAGAACTTAGGTGTTACTCCTCTGTACCCAGTAAATTCACGCCATATCCCACCCTTCAAATCAAAACACAGCCATGCAAACACAACTGCTTCACGGTTGAAACACGAATGGGACAGAGGTACCCAAGCAATCGACTTTTATACAAAGTCTCCCTCTGGTTAGTTTGTACCTAGGTTTTACATAACATTGTTTAATTTAACGCTATTTGTGTTATTAAATTAATTCTAAAATATACTAAAAGTATATTTTTCGAAATAACCTTTCTTCTTTTTTACATTTTTCTTACCAAGATTCTTATGTCACTTATAAACTTTTTTTTTATACCACTGAGGTGGCAAACAAGCATACGGCCCACCTGATGATAAATGGTTGACATAATAATATTACCGATTATATATTTCAGGTATTAACAATATTTCTTAATAATCGCTTTGCTATTAAATCTCATTTTTATAAATTATTTACAACAAACCCTTCTCTGTGTCTTCGCCTGTACATTCATTATCTCCTATTCCAGTGATAATTTCAGGAAACTCATTACTAGTTCTGTAGTTTATATATATAATTCATTATATAAAACCACTATACCCGTCAAAAATATAAACATAACAATCAAATTACAATACTCCCAGGAGCAGTATTTCCGAATAAATACAATATTGAAACCTTAAAAGGCTGGCAACACAACTGCCATAGACTTAGTATAACGTACTATACTTCATAATCTAAACACTTGCAGTTCCTTTCATGTTGCGAGTGCCTATGAGTGGCGGTAATCACTTACTGACAGGTGAGCTGTATGCTCGTTTGCCTCCTATATTATAAAAAAAAATTAATCATATTTAGAAGAAGAAAGAAGAATCCGTCATATCCATGTGTCTATGGTGATGACGTCGTTATGAATGGAGATGGTATGGATGGATGTAAAGTAGGTTAGGAAAAGACTGTTTTTTTTTTTAATCCATTTATTATATTCATTACAAAATGCTCAAATTTAGATATGTTAATATTAGAAATCTCACGAAGTAATATCACATTGTAAGTATTCGATAGTTTCAGTACAAGTCAATACAGTTCAATAGTAGATAGGTAGTATATTATTGCTAGTTTATTATAAATCTAATTTTCTTAATAGATATAATTTTAAATAATTTGAAAATATAATAATGACCTAATATCATATACATGCTTTATATTATTATAAAATACATGATAGGAAATATATAATCTGAATCTAGACGCCTAAAAATTGGCCTATATTATACATAAGTTTTCACAAAACGGTAGACTCTTGATAGGAAACAAGCGGTCACATTATTGAAGATTTACACTTTAATCATATGTATAATGTAAAATATAGTTACATACTAATAGACATACTAATGATAAATAACGTTGGTTAACATATCGTTAATCTTACTAATATTTCGGATAATTGTATTTATTATTATTATTAAATGTATATATTAGTAAATGTATTTATGTTGTTACATTTATACGGCAAAATCACTAATTTAAAAAAAAAATTAGAATAAGGATAGTATAAACCCAATATATGAACGTCTTTAATCTATATACTATTTATTACTTCACCTATAATTCACCTCCATAACTTTTCCAAATCAATATAAAGATATTTCAATAAGCAATACTCATATAGATATATAGATGGTAATTGAAACAATTACTTCTAATAATTATTTCAAAATATTTAAATGTAAATAACTCTATTCTTGGTACCGATTCACTAGGATAACATGACACGGAACAAACATCATTTTGGTCAATAAATCGAACAGATAGTTCACGGACATGTCAGTTGACCTAAATTATGCGGTGTGCATGGTTTCAGGCCTTGAGATATGATGCGTAGACCTCGCACAGGAGGAATTAGGTCTCGTCCACTCACTCGCAATCGGTGTACACAGCCCACAAAACCAGGCAACATTGATGCACCCATGAGCCTTTAAAAAATACATATATATTAAAGATTCACATTAATATACGTTAATCGGATATTTCTTTTATAAACAGTTTAAGAATGACAGTACAGTCCAATTAATATGGAATTGTTCAGTCCAAATTCCAATTATTACTTATACTCGTATAAAACAAAATACCAAATTGGTTCAGCTGTTCTCAAGTGATACACTTATCGATATATATCATTTTTGTTAATATTATTCTTTTTGTTTGTACACATATTGTTAATCTTTATAACTAGTATAATTTGTAATTTATAAACTCAATAAACGAATATTATTATTATTATTTAATTTTTATTTATATAGATTTCATATTCCTATATTATCTTTAAATAACGAGACATATTTATTAAGATATACAAACACACAACTAATGTTGCTATAAACCTGGTAATAAATTGGTTGCGTGTAAGGATAGAAATGCTTTTGACGCTTAGATCGCTCTCCTTACCTCATAAAAACGTGAACATGAAATTTTTACGAAATTTATTTAGTGAAATTATTAGTAAAATTATTAACTACTAAAAAAATACTCACTTAGTAACATTTTGAGGAGGGCTGCCAACGTAAATGAACGGATCAACATCTAGAGAACTCATGCGCCCCTGTGCTGAACCCCTTACGGTCGTGGTTCCAACTCTCAGCATCGCGTCTTTCTTGTATCTCCGCGCCGAAATTTTCGATTTTCCATCAGTTTTCACTTGTCCCGAACGCAATTCTAGTGTCCCACTACCCGCATCCCACCGTAACACCGCCTTATCTTCGTTGAATCCTAGCCATACATAATCTCTCACCCCAGCCGCACTCAACAAAGATCCTTTACCGCACGCAGCCGACACCTCAGCCCATATATCAAATCGTTTAGCGGGCAATCGTACCCGCACTGACATACCTGCTAGACCATCAAACAACGGCACTTTATAAATGTCATCTTTCTCTCCCTCGTAATCCTCGTACTGTGAATAATCGTCTTCTACTTCATTCGAGATCTGAATCTCCAAATTCTTATCCATGTCCATTTTACGTCTAGACTTAACAACGCAATTAACCGGTTCATCGGTTTTCTCTGTCATACTACCAACGTCTGCGTAGATATTGTCTGTGAATTGATCAATTGAAAAGATAGATTTAAATAAATATATAGATAGTCCTTCAAAATCTTATAGTAATACAAGTTTCTACGTAAAGTACAAGTGCATAAGTCTACTGGTATCTAGCTCGCTACATCTAGCGGTATCCGACCGGCGGGAGGATGTCGACGCAAGTCAACTCGGGGTCTGGGCTGTCGGGTTTGCCGCTATCGCTGGTGTCTACTGAAGCATCGGTGTACTGAAGAGAGTCGGAGGAGCGTTTGTGTCTCGAGTCACGGAGGTGCGAGTGTTTGCCAGTGAGGGGTGAGGCTGAGCGGCTACCTCGCCTGACGTGGGGCTCGTCGGTACATGGGCCGAACGCTTGCGCTACGATGTCAGCTTGCGTGCGGCACGCGTGGGCACGCAGGTGGCACGTGGATAAGTAGGTGCGTCCGTCGCTTCCGCAGACAGCGGGCGCGGGAGCGGTAGTGGGAGCGGACGTGCACTCGCCTGCGTTGCACTCGCAAGTAGCCAGCCCGTTGCGGACTATACAGTGCGCGCCGAAGTAACACGTCATGTGCTCGCAACTCGTCGCTGGTAATTGCGTGGACTCAGCTGTTGAACAACAAAAGATTAGCGCTCGTATCGAAAGTAACAACATTTATAATTACAAAATCTTACGCATGTTTGACAGATTAAATAAAATTTATTAATATGTAAAATTGAATTAAGCAATAATTATTTCATTAAATAGTTACTTGTGAACTTACTCCACTGCTATGAAAATTACATCGTATGGTGCAGTTTCGAAAATAAGAACTTTATTTTTTTTCTCAATAAACTATTATATAACAATAAAATATTGTACTAACGATCAAAGCATCCATTAGGTCCTAGAGTGTGTTCATGGTTAGAACAAACTGTACATTTTTGCCCCTGAATGCCTGGTTTACAAACGCAACGGCCAGTCATCTGTTCGCAGTCCTCGCGAACAGATCCAAATGCCGAGCATCCACATGCTAAAAAATAAAAAAGCAATATTAGTTACCTTGTACGAAATATGAATTTCATAATTAGGTATATCCTATTTATTACATAATTATCACATATAAGGTATACGTAAACACCCATATACCTAGAATACCCCACAACAGTTACCAATGTCGACATCGTACGTGGTCCTGAAATCGTATATACTAGTCCAAAATACATACAAAAAACATATTCTAATAATTATTGTGCAATTAAAAAAAAACTATAGCAGATGACATTCTTAATGCTTACTCTCTAATGAACTATCGATAAGATTAAATGAATAGACCACTATTTAATATAATAACATCTTCACGGGGTCTGATAGTTGCGGCTAGTTTTGGATAAAAACGAAATAATTATCGGCAACAACAAATAGTAGATCATTCCATTCCTGTTCCATTCCAATTATATATAAATAATGAAAAAATACACGAATTTACGACACTTAGCAGTCGCACTCCAATAGGCTATTGAGAGTAGAATAGTAAAAACTCACGTATGCATCCGGTGTGGCCGGTACCGATCCTGGGCAAGCCCCAATACCCGGGCTCGCAACGATCGCACTTGAGGCCACCGACGCCAGGCCGACACGTACACTGTCCGCTCTCGTCGCACTGCTCGGACACTGATCCGAGACGATGACAGCCGCACTGCGACGGACAGCCGGCGCCGCCCGGCCCGCGTGCCGGTGTCACACCGTCCGCACAGCACCCGTGCCACGACTCCTGACATCCCTTTGTCTCTACTGACCCTTTTTCTGTAAATATAAAACGCATTAAAGCCCTATATTAAGCCACTTATCTAATAACCGAACAGTGCCGGAACTACAGTAGGACGGTAGGAGCAATCGCTCTAGATGCCAGGTGGCAAAGGGCGCCAAAAAGCCAAATATAAAAAACAATTTCCACCTCAAAATAAAATTTTGATAACACCTTTTGAGAGGCGCAGGAGCAGCAGTGTTCTTCCTCCGTCTACACAAATGAAGAAATTGTACTGATGTATGTAGCGATAAACTTATTTTTTAGGTAGTAAATAACGATGTAGGCCGTATGATCCCGGCCGAGAATGGGCTACCCCTTACTTTCTTGTGGATGTCGTAAGAGTTGACTTGAAACTTAACAATCGAGGGATGAACAGCAGCGTCCCTCTTAAAACATCTCTAAAATCCATACTGCAGTTGCTAACAGTTGCCAATCCTGGCATCTACTAGCAAAATTCCCCAAAAAGAAGAGGCTTTTGTTCAGCAGTAGACAGTTAACGGCAGAAATGATAATGACGAATAGATATATAATATTTAAATACCTTTCTTACAGCAACGCGCAGCTTTCGCTGTATGATGACAATAACTGCCAATAGGGCAATCTTTTCTATGTGGTCCGCCTCCACAGTCCAGCATTCTACCTTCAGCGTCTGTTAGAGGCTCGTCATCACCACACGGTCTGAACTGTTACAGAATTAAAATTTTTACATTACAAAACAGAACATAAACTTATAATGTACTCTATTATTAATTAGCACATATATGTATGTATTAAATGTGATGTATCTTGTACCTATTAATAATTTGCATGCTTTAGAATATAAGGCGAACATTTATACTTCACCTAATAGATCAATATCTGTAAAAAACAATGTTCTCGCAAATAAAGAAATCTAATCTAATCTAATCTAATAATCTCCTTATATATTCGCCGATGAGGTGTACCTAGTGGGTAGAAGTCTACGACTAATATCGTTTCTATTTAAAAACGCTCAAACATAAGGCCCAGAGACGATGCTAAATGAATCCTGGAGAAACTAACTAATAAAAAATAACTATATTACAAATTAAAAACTATTTAAAACTAGAAATTACATAAACTAACAGTATGTTTCATGTTTATAAACAGTACAGATTAATTTAGCAGCTCGATTTGAAAGCCTCCTAGTCTGGAACTAAGCCAATTTTGTTAAATCCCATTTGCTGCAATTGAAGAAGTTTACTCCCCTATTGATTGGTCTCATATTAATTTTGTACAATTAAACTTACTGTTGTTTTAACAAAGTCCTAAATTATTGATTTAGATTAATATTTTATTACGGTTGTACATTAAAACTCACTTCTAGCCCCCTGCATAAAGCCAGCGGTCGTAGTCTGAGATCCTCTTGTCGCCGGCACGCTTCTAACTTCATATGACACAATGTTGGGTACAATCTTAGATCCGAGGCGCACACAGGAGCTGAAGACGCAGCGGCAGCAGCTGCGGCCGCGCAGTCAAACAAACACGCACATCTGTATCAAACATATAGACCTGTTTTTCATTTCTTGTGAGATATATTGCTAAAGCGTGAGTAAATACTCATAAATCGATATTAAATATCTTTAAGATGCTTTTTATTAACAAGCAAAACATATCTATATCACAACGTGATCTCAAGTCTCTTTCCGCTCTCAGAAAACATGATAATACACAATGGAAAATAACTTCTCAAACCCTCAGAATTTCGTTAACTATGCTTTCAGCTTTTAGGTGATATTTGAATCGCTGAGATCAACTAAGTTTCATTTACCCATCATCAATATTCTTAAATACACACTCCCTTATACTTGAGATCGATTTATCACTATAGGCTTTAAAATGACGTTGATATTCTCATTATGTACTTCATCATCATCATATCTACCGTTATCTGTTCAATGTTGTGCATGGACCTCCTCCATAGACTGTCATAAAGAACGGGGCCATTTAGGTACAATTGGAGATTTTACTGGTTTTTTAGTTGACACGCTTAGTAAGCGGGTTGGCAAACGCAGTTAGGCTCTCTCGACACGCACGAGAAAGAGAGAGGTGGCCCAACCTGTGCCAGGTACATAGGGCATTATATACTTACCTGTAAATTTTTTTACTAACTCAACTTCACCTAGTATAGTATTATACTATCTGTGACTTTACCTCGGCAGGGGGGAGGGGGAGGAACTAATTGTTAATAATGTGAACTATCGATCCCATTGCTAGCAATATACCTTATCAGGTCGACCTCCACGTGATCCCCTGGATACCGTCGTACTGAATTCCAGGTGTATACATCACGATGGGTTAACTGACCTGCCTTTTCGTTCTCACCTATCCTCACTTACTGGTGTCTCACCAGCATATCCCGTTTAGCGCAGAAGGGGGTTACGATTCCATTATCATTCATTAAAAAAAAGCTTACCTCGGCTGTCCATTAGAGTCGACAGCGCATGTAGCCTCATAAGCGCACTGTACTCTCGCGCACACGGCGGTGCTGGCGCCTGGTTCGCTCGAACTTTCCGCTGTCTCATCTGATGAACGAATCTCATTGCTTATATCTATGAGTTTTACAGTTTTGTTTACCCCTGAAATCGAAAAAATACAAAGTAAAATACAAAAACTAGTATATGTAATGTATACCTTATATAATAATTAAAGATTGTGTTCCTCAAAAAAGAGCAGACTTAAATTGTGAATTAAACAGACAAAACCAGTTATTTTGATTTAAAAACACAGAACCAATTTTAATTAAATTTCTAAGAGACTACAAAATATATCCTTTTAAATTAACAAAAAACTAATCGATTTAGAACTGACGATGTTTTGAAGTTAACAATTTAAAAAAACAATAAAACAAATTGAGAAAGACAGTTGAAAATAAATCTATATTTTCGGTGTATTTATTGCGCTACGAATACAGTTTGATACACACTGTTTAGGCGCCCGATTGATCGACTGTATAGTAGGATGTATTTACTCTATCAAAACGTATTCTAATTAACAAAAGAATAATATGAGAAATAACTAATAATACAACAAATTAGGCGGCAAAACAATATTTATTAAAAGACTCAGTCCTACTCTTAATACAGTAGATTATTTTAAAACAAAATAAAGTTATTAAAACACAAAGCTCCACCCACCCGCCGGGTTAATTAACTATCAATAATGATTTATTGTGCAATCCAATTTTATAACACAATAAAAATAGTTTCATAAAAAGTTCTGAGCTCAGCTGAATTAACTACAGTCAAGTATAGGGTCACACTATGATCGTTCTTAGCTTAAGTGTCGCTTTTTGAATGTCATGTAGATTTTAAATATGTTTACGTAATGAGAGACAGGCATGACAGATATGTATGTATGTTATGTAAAAAAAATTACCCGCAGTGGCGTTCTCGTCCTGGGAGTCGGTGCACTCGCCGTAGTAGGCGACGCGGAGAGGCGGGTCGCCGCGCATGCGCGCCTCGCAGGCGGCGCGGCGCAGCGCACACTCGTGCGCATAGGTGGCGCCCGAGTCGGCGCACACCGGCTCGCGCGCCGCCGCCGCGCACGGCGCGCTGCACGCACATGCGCCGCGCGCACACCACGTGCCCGCCGGACACTCCACGCCCGCGCACGACTCTACACACACTCGACCAGATAGTAACATGCCGAGTCCACCCGACTCCATTATCTGCTACTTAATACACAGTTTACAAATTAACTTTACAACTTAATATACAGGTTACAATTTGAATACACGATTCGAGCGTTTGCTTACTGTAATACTAGTGAAAGTTTTTTATATTTAAGGCGTTTCGTCTCATTATTATTTTTTCCTTTAATTGCAAAAGAATGATTATTTTAATATCTGAATTCAAATTCAAATCATCTTTATTTAAATAGACTTGTTTCCAAGCATTTTTAAATCGTAATTTATTTTTTAAGAACGCAGGGTGACTTCATAAAAATTAAAAATTACAAGTAATCTTTATTAAAAGTGAAATATCAAATGTCAATTGAGAAAAAACTCGAGTTTGATAAAGTACCTACTTAATAATCGAATACTAGTCTACTACTACTAGTCTAGACTAGTACTTAGACTAGTACTAATACTAGTCGAAATAGAATTTGATTTTTTCCATCATCATTGTCATCGATCGCTGATAAGTAAGCTAATAGTAATATGATCTGGATCATATTACTAATTATTCAAATACAATCCAACTATAGACACTACATGAAGCAATTAATATAGATATCTATGTAATGGAAATTACTGAAAAGTTTTATTCATTTTTATTATCATGTCTAAATTCCTAAATTGCATGCCTTTACATTTCGTGACATATTTGATTTCTGGCAATCTGCTAAGAAAAACTTGTATTTCAGAACCAGAATTGATAATTATCTGGCTATTTAGATTAAATTCATTATCATAATATGCAAAAATCTTACCACATGATCCCATATGCTTGATGTAAAGTCTGCGTTTTTCTCGGCAAGCTTCATCACGTAACGCACATACACTACTGTAGGTGCGGTTGTCGTTACCACAAACCTCTTCTGTCTCCTAAAATACGATACGTACATTTTATTAAACATTTTCAAGTGTGACACAAATAATTTCAATATGACATCCTTACAGTTCCCTCCTCGCAATGTTTCGGACATACGCAACTTGCTTCAGAAATACCGTCACTTTCGCACACCGCGTAAAACTCGCATTTCTTGTTTTCACAGCCATCTGCAACATATCCAAAATATTGATTGTGTTTCCTATTTTTATTCCATCATTTTTTTACATATACAATTATTACAGTATATTTTACTCTACATTTCTATATAATCCTATTGTGTAATGCCATCATGTGTCAACTGAAATTTAAGTATTTCACGAAATTACATGCAATGATGAGATGAGATTTTTTCTTTAATACAAAATAATTTATTGTTTTTTGCATAACCACAATTATTATTCTTGGTTACCTATTTATGTAGCTAGATAAGTACATGATAACAGAGGAACAAGAACGAAGAGGAAGAAAATTAGAGCATAACAAGATAATATGTAAACAATTTATGTTACAAATTAAAGATTCATTTTATTTGTTACATAAATTGAAATAAACAAGAGACAATCGTCGTTTGAGAGCCGTTTTAGATATTGTCTAAGCACGTGATTGTGTTGGAATTCTAAAACTGCTGACACAAGGTATCAAATTTCTTGTTAATTTTCTATAATTCTGTTTATTTAAAAAATGTCTTTAAGTTGCAACAGTAATAAGTATATCAATGTAATACACTCAAAAACTAAAAAAACGGAACACTTTTTTGCTAATAGTGAACTATTTCGTAAACAATGTTAAGTAAGATTAGAATAAAATAAATTTATAAATTTAAAATAAAATATATTGTCATATACTAACTGCAGGGTCCATCATAAAGCACTTGCACATCGCGGCGGTGCCGGCATGCCTCTAGCTGCAGCTTGCAGCGGTTTCCATACGAAATTCCATCGGATCCGCAGACGGGGGCGAACTCGTTGGAACACCGCGGGCAGCGGCAAACACCGCGACCGCCGGCAGGCACGCACTCGCCTCCGTGCGGGCAAACACGCCCCGCGCATATGCCGTTTGAACCTGCAATCAGTATGTAGAACTCACATCATCATCTACTTTCTATCAGGTGAGGCGGCGTCTTTTATGCCTTTCCAAATTGCATCTATTATACGTCATTGCATTTGCAAACATTTGCAAAGAGTTAGTTCTCCCCATTCCGCTCCACTCCTTTTCTTCCCATAAAAAGAGGCAGATACCATACTAGAGTGAGACTTTGTACAAAAGTCGATTGGTTGGGTACCTCTGTCCCATTCGTGTCCCAACCATGAAGCAGCTGTGTTTGCATGGCTGTGTTTCGGTTTGAAGGGTGAGGATATGGCGTGAATTTACTGGGTACAGAGGAATAACATCTGAGTCCTCAGGAATGGCAACAGTATACTCGCGAAACAGTATACCCTGTTATGTCCATGGTACTGCTCATGTCTATAGGCGACGGTTACCACTTTCCATCAGGTGGACCGTCAGCTTGTTTGCCATTCTAAGTTGTATATAAAAAAAGGCTATTAGCATTTTACCACGCAGACTAAACAACTACAAATGCAATGACATTATTATTTATTCCGTTAAACGTTTCTTAACTAAATAAAAAAGTCTATGTATCAAATCAGGTGTCGAATTTTGTGTTCAAATGACACAGACCACAAGCGCTCATGTGCAGTATCTACGCAGCTCACACTCGCTAAAATGCATCTATGCGTGTGCATATCAGACACGTACGCTCCACACGGCCGCCCTTTACTTAACAACGGTGTCTACTTCACCTAATTAAATTGATTCGCTATACAAATAGTACAAACCACAAGCGCCAGCGTGTAACACCCGTAGCTCCCTGCCAAGCAAGCATGCGGCACGACGCAGTTCACACTCGCTGTCGTGCGTGCGTGAGTCGGTGCCGCACACAGGGCGCAGCACGGGCTCGCACGGCGGCGGACAAGCACACACAGCGCCGCCACCCTCCACCCGGCATTCAGCACCGTGACGGCACTCCACCTCCGCGCATGGATTCACGCCTATGTCAACGGTACATTACATGACTTTATGAAGGATAGAAGTAAGGAGAACTATTTTATATGAGGGAATAGTAGCAAAAGTATCCAGCTATAAGCTGCAATTAAGAGTTCCAAATCCTAGTCAGTTGATTAGAATGATTTTGTTTAATTCTGTCAGTCTCCGATCGTTATTCCATCCACGCACGTTTTGAGATCTACAGTTGTTTTTGTTTGGATAACTGGAGTAGTCTTCTTACCTCTACCTAGTATAATATTATACAATCTGTGCCTCTTATCTTCATAGATGATTCGTTTAAAGATGAAGTTAGACTAAAAAACAAAACATATACAAAAGATAGTCCAGAAACAGAATAGATTTCTTAACTAAAAGAATGCTGTACAATTTTTCCCCATAACACTCGTAAAACGCTGTCGGCAAGTTTACATTTATCAAAAATTGATAATAAGTACAGCGCAATATCCTACTCTTATAAATTTTCTGTCAATGACATTATGACAATACCCACCAGAACTACACTGCCCCTTGAATATTATCTTCAACTGTTTCCTGGCGCGGCACGACTCGCGGTGCATTTGACACTCGTTCGAGTACGTCTTCCCGTCTGAAGCACACACAGGCGAGAACTCTAGCGGACACGGCTCCGCGCACCGACAAGATGGCGATCGGCGCTCGTCCAATTGGCACACTTCTGGATCGGGGCAGGTCACTCCAGCACACGGATCTTAAGACAAAAGTTGCAATTTGGAACTTACTTTGAAATATCAACCAGGTATATAATATATAATATATATATAATTCTAATAAAAAAAAATATTATGCTACACATAATACATACTTTTTTAAATTAATCACAAATGGTAGAGGAATGGGCAGCAGCGTCACTCTTAAAACATCTCTAAAGCCAGACTGCGATTGCCAATTCACCTGCCAAGCGTAACAACTACTGGCAAACCCCCTCCAAGGGGGATGCTTATGGTCAGCAGTGGACAGTTAAAGGCTGATATAATGATGATGATGATGGTAGACGTAAAACAGATTGGTACTATTTATTCTAAGAAACTATGAATAATGGATGTCTGTAGACATCAGTTACCCCATTCTATTAAGCTCTCAGCTTGCCTAATGAAAATTGTTGTTTGCCATTCCAGGTTACAAAAAAAAATCACAATGTAATAAATCAACTAACCACATTTGCCGTAATACTTGAATGTTATATTTGTATTGGACTCGCAAGCAGCCCTGCGCATTTCACACTCGCCAGGATAGTCGCGGGCGTCGCTGGCACACAGTGGTCGCGAGCCTTCGTGGTCACCGTAGCTGGGACACGAGGTAGGACACTCGCAGTTGTAGAAAAGTCCATCAGGTGTCGGCCGGCACAGAGCGCCGGGACCGCATGTTACACCGCGGCAAGGATCAGGCACGTCTTATCAGAAAAAAAACATAGATATAAGAATACCTATTTTATGTAAGTACATTATATCTACAAGCTTTAATTCGTACTCACCTAAAGATATTTAAAAATTTGCTACTTAGAGTACATAGACATAATGCCATAATTCTCAGGAATAGCATGGGTACAATAAACATCACAGCGTGTTCTATGATTGTTGAATAATAACTATCGTGAGACATACTGTATTGTAATTATTTATGTCCGCTTAACTAACGTTTACGAAATTCGGAGATAACCAACTAGTTTTTAGTATTCTCCGATGTTCATGACGCGGCTCATGCTGATAGACGAGGGTTCCATCAGGTGGGCCGTCAGCTTGTTTGCAATTCTAAGACGTATAAAGTTGCCTGAAAATGAAAGTTGTCTGAAATAAAAACACTTCAACGATTGTACAGATTTAAATAAAATTTGGTACACTAATAGAGCATGCCCTAGACAATGATATTTCGCGTAAATTAACTATTATAGTTAATTTACGCGAGTACCTATAACTTACCTGCAAATGTACTTAGTGGCCTATTTTATTCTATTATTATTTTCTGTCAGGTCGACCTCCACGCGACCCCTTCTGAAAATTATCTTGTTTGATCCGTGATTAATTCGTCATAATGATCAGCTAACTAATCTAACTGCATGTTCATTTATCTAATATAAATAAAATAGTAACTAGACGATACCTGTACATAGGAGATATTTAAAAAATTTACATGTGGGATCTTAATAAGAGCTAAAATAACAATTTTTAGAAATTTTGTCTGTTTGATTGTCTATATGTTTATTCCGTCATCGTGCAAAAAATACTACACGAAATTGGATACAATTTTATTCCTGAAAGTCTAACTTAAAAACTGGTACCTATTTTATCTTGATACGACATCTAGAAATAATCTATTTAATTGATTTTTCTACTTCTGTAGTGATATATATTGATGACTACCTTTTTATCCACTTACTTCATGCGATATATACATATCTTAACAAATAGGTATTTTCTACAGTTATTGGATAACTCACCACTAGGAAATAAATAACAGGCCGTTGTTATTGACACCAATACCATAAAAAGAGCCCCTCTAGTGGTCAACATCGTGCGGCCAGTAAGCCGCCACCACGGTCTCTGTCTCCAACCATCACACATAGTAATTCCACATTGTTTATTCCCATACTATAAAAATAAAACAATTATATTTTTTAATATAAATAAAAGCAGATTACCTTTTGAAGAAGGTACCTAGACATTTATCAAATAATATCAAAAATATCAAAAAGGCTCTCAATTGTATCTAAGCATTACAACAATTCTAGATGTTTTACGTAAATATTTACAAATTACCTACAATCGATAGAAAGCCAAGTGTTATTAGGACTAAATTTAATTATCTCTTATAGCAAAAATTAAACGTTATACTTACCAACCAATCATTAACGTTAATAATCCGTCCTTGAAATTTGATTAGCCACAAGCCGTAGAATAAAGAGATGACTTATAACTCTATTCCAAATAAAAACAGAGTCCAAACATTTATTCCACCCTGCTTCAGAGGGTTAACTGAAGCAGTGACTGAATGAAATATTCGATCATGCGCAGTAAGAACATTAGAAGGCATAAAATTGGTAATTCATGGCCATTAGCGGTGTAACATTATACTATATATAACTACTGTTCTTTATGGCGTCACTCGTCAAACAATATATCCTTCTTAGTGATCACTTACCTACATTATTTATAAAACTCAACAATTTTCTTAAAACTGCGTTGATCTCTCGGTCACTTTCTCTTTGTATATATCTTTTTTTTTACAACACAGGGGGCAAATGAGCATGCGGCTCACCTGATGGTAAGTGACTACCGCCGTCCATGACCACCCACAACACCAGCTGCATTGCAGGTGTGCTGCCGGCCAGGACGGCTATACTTGCACCAAATACAATTACACCCTTATTCATAAAATCGTCAAACCTCTTCCTATTTTAGCTAATCAAGTGTTTTCTTTTTCTTTTGCGCTAATTTCTCAATTTGAAAGACTCAATTTATGGTTCTTTGTGAATTCTCCTTCCAATAAACAGATACGCGGAAATTGTAGCGGACTACGAGACAATGCATATTTAAGAAATAGGGGCGGTCTTAAGATTAGCATATACTATACTATAATGGAATGCTATAATAATTCACCTCTCCTGTTTCGATTTGTTATTTATCATTTGAAATAATTTATTTTACACTTCAGCAACTGCTCTAGCACAGTAAACGAAAGCGGCCTCTTTACTGAATCATCGCTTCACTGAAATTTTCGCCGACACAACTACAGTACCTGATGGGAAAAATTATTGTTAATAATGGGATTTAAAGCCCCATTGCTAGCAATATACACCACGAGTTCAACTTTCACGCGGTTCTCTTTGGAAAGCATCATGGTTAATTCTTGTCGAGTTCATCGTGATCAGCCAACTGACCTGACTTCATACCCACCTATCATCTCTAACTGATGTCCATGCTGCAAGCATTCATAGCGCAGGTGAGATTACCGTTCTATTTTCAACCATTAAAATTTATTACCAAAAATTACGAACGAAGACGAATCAGCTTTCTAATTCGGTTTTTTTTTTTTAATGGATAATAATGAAATGGTAACCCCGCCTGCGCTATCAGTATATACTGGCGGGGCACTAGTGAGGGATGATAGGTGAGAATGAAACAGGTCAACTCACCGTGACAAATCTAACAATAAATAAATCACGTTGGTTTCCAGAAGGAACCACAAGGAGGTTGACCTGACAGGATATATTGCTAGCAATAGAGCTACTAATCCCCATTACTAATAATCCCTTCTCCCCCCTTCCAGCCCGGTTAGGTACCCAATAACCTTAACGAGAACGTCTTTCAGTTGTTGGACTATATTCGCGGGTTTGTCAACTTGAAGGGCACTACTGATTCGGACTATAAGCCTCTCTATCGCCGCAATGCGCGCGGCGGCGGGGGACCTGTTCCCGAACGGCGACGGAAGAGAACGAGCTACTCCAAACCGAAATTGTTGGATACAGGAGGAGAACCAAGGAGAGTATAGACACCTTGAGGGCGGTGATCACGGATTAGGATAAGATGTTGGTCAATATCGACATTGTCAAGCCCAGATCCTACGCGTTCACCATATAAAAGACGCCGTTTGTCGTATCTCCTTAATTTCAAGTCACTTTCCTTGATAATAAGTCGAGGGTTCTTGGCGTTGATATATCTTGCGATTGATTTATATTGAGAGTGGTCATGGGTAGCAATGGTCACTTACCATCAGATGAGCCGCATACTAATTTGCCGTGTTATAAAAAAAATACAAACAGACGCTAGTAATAATTGTCAATAATAAATAAATACACCTTTTTCAACTTTAATATGTTTATTATCATGGTATGACACCATTTATTACATTCCACAATCTCATTACATTCCAACGCATGTAACAAAGACTAAGAATTCACATAATGTATAAAAATAGGACTGTATGAGCCCGACCAAGGCTCGGAAATGCATATAGAATGAGAATCGAATGCACAAACGAATCGCTCTTTCCTATACACTGCCAAAATGCAATGACAAATTTTATGTGCCCCTTTCATCAAGCTATAAATTTCTTAGTGGAAATTGCACATGATTTTGAATGCAAACCTACTAACAATACTAAATTTTGTACATTTATTAACCTATGTTTATATCACCAGTATTTCTGTCAAATTAATATACATAAATTGTGAAAGGCATCAAATAAATAGAAAATCGAATTATAGATTAAAAATATTATTTAAAACCGGAATATCGGCAACAAAATTGAAATAATATAAAAATTATTGGTATTTTGTCTAAAATCTGTACATTAACAATCAATCGACATATTCGGTAATAAATAAATTTACTATACAGTCTTACTTACAAAACACAGTCACAATAATATTAATCAACGTCTTTATTTGAATCGATGCGCTTTACTTATCACATAGATAAAAACCACAGCACTATTTTGTCACTTACACTTTACGGTTTCGGTCAAACCAGCGTCCATGGAAAGAGATCACCTACCCAATATTTACAATAGAAATACAAATATTTACAAAGAATCAAAGTTCAAAAAACAAACTAAGTAGGCGGCGCGCGTCTATCATAATCTCGTCTGTAAACTTCACGTTCATACTCCCGATCTTCATAGGAATAATCAGAGGGGTAACCCCGCCACTCATCTGGATAAGGACGAACCGGTGGGAAGCCCATACCACTTGGCATGGTTGAACCTTCGTAATATCCGCCGTAAGGTCCTGCCATGCCGACGAATCCACCGCTACCGTATCTAAAATAAATTTAAAAGTTAAAATAATCACCAGATTTAGAGGTTATTATAATTTCATAAATATAGTAAATAATAGTTACCGTCTTTTATCATGCGGTCGTGGATTACGATCGCCACGATACTGTCTCGGTCCAGGATAAGCTGGAGGAGTCCAGCCAGGATGCGTCGGATGCTCAGGATGCAATGTATTGGGATGTGGCATTGTGTAGGATGGTCGCACTCGTGGCGGTCCTACACCACCACTGTCCCGACGAGTTCGTGATCGCTCTCGTTCGCGATCCCGCTCCCGGTCTCGATCCCGATCTCGTTCTCTGTCGCGGTCGCGATCGCGGTCACGATCACGGTCACGGTCTCGATCCCGCTCACGATCCGGCCGGCTGCGGTCTCTGTATATCAAATCGTCCCGCTTCAAACTCCTATCTCTATTCCTGTGATCCTTGTGCTTGTATTTATGTCTGCAGGGATGGAAGAAGCGATATGGTGGTGAGCAAATTAGGAAAGGTTAGCTACAATGAGTTATTATTTAAATCAATAGAAGCAGGCGTGCAAATGAAATTAATGTTATGAAAATGGTTAATGAATGAAATGATAATCAATAATATAGTACCTTTCGTGACGTTTGTTCTCATTAGGTTCTGGATCACATTCTCCTTCTTCAAGTTTTCTCTTAACACCTGATGTACGTGGTATCTTATCATTTGATTTATCTGACTTTTCCTTTTCCGTTTCAATTTTTATTCTTTTTTCTTTCTTTTTATTTAAATCATTATTTTGAATTTCTCTCTTATTTATTTTTACATGATTAATTGAATTATGATTGTTCTTATTATTAGTCTGTAAATTAATAATGTGTTTTCAGAAAAAATTACTAATAAACAAACATACATTAATAATTAGTTCTAAGTGTATTTTTTTTTTTTTGTTAATTCTAAATGATATTAATTTTTAATTCATTTTTTTATAATATATGGATCCCATTTCGATAATGCCATTATATTCTTCATCAATGCATGTAAATCTCAGAAAAGATAATGTTTTTGTTTTATCTTTTAAAAAATGTGTTTGTTATTAATGCATTAAAAATTTGTTTCGTTTTCGTATATATTGAAATTACATTTAAAGCCTAGGTGGTATTGCATTTTTACTTGGTTACCATATGATAACAGAATGAAAATGGAATGCATCTGGGTTAACACTGCTTTTCATCCCTACGGTGTCGTAATAACTAAACACCACGCATAAATGTAAAGAAATCACAAAATAACCCTATACGTACCCACGTATATGCCTATACTAGGGAAGTAATAGAGAATAAAGTAATATCAACTTAATTAAAATCAATGCACTGTAATTATAATAATGAAAAAATTTGTGACATCTATTTAACATTGTAAATGCTCATATATTATCTGAACAAAAGCCGAACCTTCGCTCAAATAATCCAAAATATAGACTAATTACCAATTTCATTAACATTACCTTAACATTTTCTTTGTGTTTTCCATCTTTTTGTTTAGTGTCCACATTTTTCTTAAGGCCATATTTATATAACTTGTACAACTGTTTTGCATCAAAATTGGTAAATTTTGATACAAAATACCAGAGATTACTTCTCCATTCAACTTTCTTTTCAGGATCAGGATATGCCTCAAGACATATATCTATTTGATTCCCTATTTGAGAAAGGCATGCGCGTGTTCTGGTAACTTGTTCAGTCTCTGATAATGTTTGGTCTGGATTGTCAAGAGCTCTAAGAGCTTTTTTAACAGGCCTCATTTTCTCCTTACACTGCAAAAAATACGATAACAATATTTATCTCCAATATTTAATAAATTCTTTACTTATCGCAAGAGATGTAGTCAAATATCAAACAATAAAAATAGAAATTTTAAAACAAAGCAGCGTTACAATTATTAAACATTATTGAATATTATTATCACGTGAAACTTTGAAACAAAAATTACACAACCAATTTTAATAAAACATAAATGAGATTCAACTTATAAAATTTATTTGAAATCAATTTTTGTTACATGATAATGTAACAAACGGTCAACTGATAAAATTTGCAATTGCCTGTTAATATAATATTATGTTGTTAAAATACCTCTTCAAACACTGATGGATGTAGATCTCCTAAAACTTCCAATGCCCTTGGCTCATTATTAGCAGTAAAATGCATAGGTCCAGCTGGCTTTTTCCGCCCTTTAACTTTTTCACCCTTTGTCCTATCTTTGCCTTCCTTTTTTGTGCGTTTTTTGTCTTTTTCTTTTCTATCATTGGAAGTTTCATCATGCGTTGAGACTTCCTCTAATTTCAATTTACCCTATAAAATAAATACACATACAAAGGTAATTAATATTTAGATATTATTTAATTAAATTAAGCCATATAAATTGGATAACACTTTCAATTGATAATATATGGATGGATGGGTTAATGTTCAAGAAGTTGCCTAAAAAAATCTAGACAGAATTTAAACCTTTTCAAATAATTTTCTAATTATTATTACTTGGCGCATCCTTCAGAAGTAAGCAGAGAGGACTGAGTACCAAAGGTCTCTAAACCTGTTACTTCATACTTTCATAACTTACGTTAACATTTAAATAACTAGTACCAATATAATTAAATATTCAATGAGACATTACCTTATCAACCTTATCATTTTTGTTAGTTTTACTTTTTTTATCATCACCAGAACTCACATCGTCTTCTATTATGTCTTTAGTAACAGGTTCCTTATTGCCTCTTTTCATTCGTGGTTTCCTTTGTTTTTGTTTACCATTCTTTTGATCTTGCAACTTTTTAATTAGTTTTAATAAATACTCTGCACGTGATTGTAAATGTTTCGCTTGAGGTTTTTTATCTTCATTAGTTAAGATTTTATCACCAATTTCAAAGGAAGAATCCATTTTTATTGCTTCCCATGAGCCCATACCATATTGATAAATACCCGCAAGTAACTTTGAATCCTCTACAATTCCCCATTCAACATCAAAATTAGCTGGCCTTGTCCTAAAACAACAAATACATTTGAGAAAAATTTTTTCACAATAATTGGTCATTATTACTAACAGAGTGAAATAATTTACCTGAAGTCAAGCTGCCATTTTAATCTTTCCTCTTTAGTTTCTGGCAAGAAGTCGTTCAAAGGCGCAAGCTCGTCCAAACAAGCTGTCAATGTTTTAGCATTAACAGGTACACCACCGAGTTTGAAAGATTTTCTGGTATTTTTACGACCTTCAGTTTGTTCATCTGTAAAATATAGTTTGGTTACAACAATTGTATAAAAAATCTTAATATATGGAATAGTTTCGTAATTTATTGAACTTACTGGGTGTTTCTGTTGCGTCATTTAACACAGCTTTACATCTTTCCTCTAAAATTTCAGCTAGCCTCTTCAATTCCGCTAACGGCTTCTCTTGTAATTCCGCATCACAGGCTATACTGTCCAAATGTTTCAGGGGTGCAGAGAATTTCTTGTAACTTTTGACGAATCGCCGTATCTTAAAACAGATAAAAATATTATAGAATAAGGCTTTTTAAGGATAAGGACAAACTGGAGCATGTATATGCCGTGTCGGAACTGTTCTGTATGTGTGGCATCACAATAGAGGGATGGAATCCGTCGTCGGTTTCACCCTAGTGCCACAGAAACCAGGCGTTTGGCCACGCTTCGGCCAATTGCCACAGGCCCATAAAGTCCGTTCACTGTGCCAGCGAGTACGCGACCACCGACTGCGACCTAGGGGTGCGGTTCTAGGGACCAAACGTCCCACTTTCGTAAATATCGATATTCGCTACTTACTAACCCCCGAAATGGCAACAACCAGATGGGATAATTTTTATCCCGATAATAAAATATTAACCCAATAGATGGCAGTAAGGGACAAATCACGTAATGTCTAGCTAGTTAGTCCATTTAGTATCACTATAAAAATAGATTATATATTACTTTTGGTTAAGAAAATCTAAATACACTCAGGTTTTATTAATACCTCTTGGTCAGTAAAGCCCTTGATCTTCTCCCTATGCGATGCAGGAGGCCGGCCACGTTTTCGAGGTCGGTCGTCGTCGGCACTAGCGTCCCCCTCGGAGCCATCGCTTTCAGCGTCACCGTCACCATCGGCGTCTCCGTCCCCATCGCCCTCGCCCGAACCACGTCCACGCCGTTTACGTCCACCTTCTTTTCAAATAATATTTATTTGAAATAATATAATACAAGCCTATAACTAATAGTATACCATTAAAATTGTTATAATTATTAAGATTCTTATTATTTTTATATAATTACACTATTTTGTTTATAAAGTAGAGAATCAAATAGTTGTTTATGAACACAATAGAAACTGCATATTTTCTTATGATCGAATTTTCAGTTTCGACACACATTTATAATATTACTACTGTTACTGAAAGTTTTTTATTATTACATATACTCTTAATATTTTAGAGGAAAAAATGCAAAATTATACTTTCATTCCACAGCATTTTCCTTACTGTAGTAATAATTTGTTTTCAAAACTGTAATCTTTTTAAATAGACGCAATGAGGCCACAAGATAAACTTACTGTTATCAGCATTATTCTGTTGCAAATTCTTTCTTCTTGGTGGTAAATACAAATCTTCCATTTCTTTATTTTTTTCCTGCTCAGCTATTGTATTGCGTACATTTTCAGGTATAATATCATCCTGAAAATTAATAATTATGTATAAACAATGTCTATAAATATAGACCAACATTATTATTATAGTTCATAATTTTTTAAGTATAATTATTATACCCAGTCTTTGCTCTCCTCTTCCGTATTGTCTTTTTTAACATCCATTACGGCCTTCTCTTCATCAAAAGCAAAACTGGCAACTTTGAATGCAGATAATAATTCATCTCCTGCTAACGTTGGTCCTTCGTCACGAGTCTCTGCTCTTCGTAAAATTTCATCAATATCACACTAGAAAAAAAAAATAGAGAGTAGAATAGTGATTTAAGGTCTGTTAACATATCTATTACAAATATTACTAAACGAATGTAATAACTTACGACAGGCTCCTCATCATTCTCATCATCATCCTTGAATAATTCCTCTGCACCAAACTTCAAAATTGCATTCAAATCCTCCTTGTTAAAGGGATTATTTGCAGTAGTCCCCGAGGCGTCCCGTTTATTAAGCACAGTTCTTCCCGTTGTATCCATCCTCTGTATAACTAGATGGTCTAGTACCATTTTTCTTTTGGCTCTTTCTACAATATCTTCTTCTACTGATCTTGCCGTGACTAACCGATAAATATTAACCTAGAACATTTTATTTTTAGTACAATGCGGCAACAATTTATTACATAAAAGATCCACTCAAAAGTATAAAATAAAACAATTACCTGATTTTTCTGCCCAATCCTATGTGCACGAGCTTGAGCCTGCAAATCATTCTGTGGATTCCAATCGGAATCAAAGATAATAACTGTATCTGCTGTTGCTAAATTTATTCCAAGGCCCCCAGCTCGTGTTGATAATAAGAAACAGAAGTCCTGAGAACCTTCAGCATTAAAATGATCTAAGGCCTGTTTCCGCAATTCACCTTTTATGCTTCCATCCAAACGTTGGAATGGAAAATGCTTTCTCTGCAAGTACTCCGCCAATATATCTAACATTCGAACCATCTGAGAAAATATAAGAACTCGGTGGCCAGTCTCTTTTAGCCTACAAAGTAGTTTATCTAATAAAAGTAATTTGCCTGAGCCTCGTAAAAGTTTCTGTAACAAAATTTTCAATTAAGTATATTTTCTACGCTACAGTCATTCTGTAAAGATTTTATAAATAAAATATTTACCTCTACTGCATCTGTTGTTGCAAGTGAAGCTCTAGTCTCAAAATCTTCTGGTTTTGTCAAAAGTGCATGATTGCAACACTTTTTCAACTCGATAACGATATTTATAAAGGTATTGATTGAGCCTTTAACACCTTTTCGTAACGCAGTATAATTTTTAGTCAATATCCATTTATAGTATTGTTTTTGAATGGATGTCATTTCCACCCTCAATATTTGTTCTACTTTTGCAGGTAATGATTTTTCCACATCTTTTTTCTGCCGTCTCAATATGAAAGGCTCCAACTGTTTATGCAGCTTTTCATATCCTTTTGTAGCAGCATCCTCGTGATCTTTTTCAAAATCTTCCCACGTTTCAAACCTAAAAATAATAATAATAAAATATAAAATTTAAATTGTTTATATTTCTGTTCTTTATTCCAACATTTAAATTTTATAAACATTTAAATTAAAACTAATTGTACTCACTTGTAAGGCATAATAAAATGTAATAACGCCCATAACTCTTTCAATGAATTTTGTAATGGTGTACCAGTTACCAACAGTCGATGATTCGTGTCAAACTCTTTTAGAGCTTTATAAAGTAAAGAATCGTCGTTTTTTAGTCTATGAGCTTCATCTACTAGCAAACATGCCCAACTAAACGACCTTAGAAATTGTCTGTCCTTGAGTAAGATTTCATATGTTGTTAATATAGCATTAAATTTTAGTCTTTTAGAACTTGCAAAACTCCATTCAAATTGTCTAATCTGTAGAATAAAAAAAAAACAGGCATTAAACTGAATGATAAATTCTCTAATTAAATTACAACAAAGCATGACATACATGAAATATTATTTGAAATATTTGTTATCAGTATCAATTTTTTATTAGTACAAAACATGAGATTGTATAAAATACAAAAAGCAATTCTGCATAAGCAATGAAGATAAATAAAACTGTAAATTTATCTAACCTGAAGCCAGGTGCCTTAGAGGTAGGCAGAGAGGACTGAGTCCCATGGTCTCAATCTCAACAGTAGATAATAGTAACAAATTATAACAAACTTACTATATTTCGACTGTCCACATCTCCAATATATGTGACAACATTAATATCTGGCGCCCATTGCTGGAACTCTCTTTGCCATGCTGTCATGGTACTAAGAGGTACAACACATAGGAATGGTCCATATAGTTGTTGCGACTTGAAGAGGTAATACAGGAAACAGATAGTCTAAAGAGAAACACAAAATAATTTTAAATTTATATAAAATTGTCTGTTAATTTAAATCTAGGATATTGTTCATCTCTATACCAAATTCCATTTAGATGTTTGAACGTAATTTACTGACAAATACACAATAATACTGACCATTGGCACACATATCGACAAACCGAAAAAATTTGGAATTTATCTTTCAAATGTAAAAACTTTCTTCTACATATAATTTAAGTACCAAAGACTTTTTGTAATTATGGTATATATAATTTTACAAAGTACTAAATACTTTCATTACTGCATTATAGCATAAATTTCGATATATTAATTAGGAAAGAAAAATGTATATTGTTATTCAACGTTATCTAGTAAAAACAACTTACCTGTATTGTTTTACCTAAACCCATTTCATCGGCTAATATGACAGAGTTGTCTTTACACCAGGAATGTATCAACCAATTTAATCCATCCATTTGATAATCTCTTAATACGTAAGTCTGTAAAAATTAAAACAATTTGTATGTTTTATCAGGCACTGCCATTTACGTTAACATATTAGACAATATGTGGGTTCATCATTAAAAACGTCTTTTTATATTTCTAATAAATTATATTCATAAATATTTTGTAAATCATATAATGTTTAAGCATAAAGCAAAGATATGATGATATAAGTAGCACAACGCGCAAATAACAATGTTCAGCACAGAGTACTGTGCTTCAAAGCAAATTGTAAATTCCGTAGATTCATAAGTCCACAAATTGCTCACAGATGGCGTTATTTAAAAGTATAATTGTTATTGCTAATAACCTTCATTAAATAGAACACAAACTTCCTTTCTCCATACGAATATTCGATGTCTTTAACAAAATTTAACAACAATAAAATAAATTTATTAAGATCATGTTACTTTAATTATTACAATGAAATGAACCACTTATAAATAGATACTGTTTTTTTTTTTAAATCCATTTTAATTACTACCAGCTCATCAGATAATACCAGAGAGAAACTGCAAAAGTCGTTTGCTTATTGTAGCTCTGTCCCATTCGTGTTCCTGCCATTTAAGCAATTGTATTTGCATGGCTACATTTCAGTCTGTAGAATGAGATATGGCATTGAAATCACAAGGTATAACACCTAATACCCAAGAGGCATAACACCCTAGTCTTCAGAAACAGCAACACATAAGGGGTATAATGGGCAACACAATATGTTACTGTTCATGTCTGTAGGTGATGATTATCACTTTTCAACAGGTAGGCCGTAGCTTGTTTGCCATTCCAAGTTGCATAAAAAAACTTACAAATAAATAGACACAACTCTAAGTACTGCAAGCTACAATATCATAATATATATTATTTTTATATCATTCTGAAAATTTAAAATAAATACCCAAAAGACACCTTAGCTGGGTAAAGGCTAGTGTATTATATTTTACACCAAAACAAAAAAAAATAATGTGATAAAAAAATAAAAAAGGAGACTTGATGACCGCCATATTTATTTAGTACTAACGTGATTACTACATCATATACCAATCACACCTGCAGAAAAATATTGACACCTCACATGTAGAGTTCACGAAAGTCAGTTAGGTTAGATATTGCAGCAAAGATTAGACATAAATAAATATATGTATATACTTGCAAAACTATACCATCCTCTCTTGAACAGTCAGTTAAAAAGAGTGACATGCACAAAAAATAAATCTGGTAATTTACCTGATCTTTTCCCATGTATTCTGGCTGTTCTTTAACTTGATGGAACTTAGGCCGCCTCCTTAAAACTGTACAATGTCTTGATGGAGTAGTTTTGGTAGCCTCTCTGTATTTAAAGTTTTCCACCTTCTCGGGCCATCTTCGTTCTATTAATGTTGCATCTTCCCATGTTGCCTCGGCATAAGATAAAGATTCCCACTTGCAGAAATACTCATGGGCAACTCCACCTGTTTCTAATTCTCTTGTTTGTTCGGCTGAAAAAAAAATAATAAAAACAAAGGTTTTTTACAATATTAATTCCATACAATGTACCTGCATACACTGTTAAAAAAATGAAAGCCATATTAGAAAAAAAAATAATAAGAAGTATTACTAAAGAAAAAAATTCTTACCTATTATCCTTTCTACATTGTTATATGTTTTCACCAATTCCTGTTGCAATTCAGATTGACATTCATAATAGTCAATATCTTCAGGGCCTGCTTGTTGTCTCCACCAGGACAATTCTGCTTCTTTCTTTATATAATTCTCTAATTTTTTAAGGCCTTTAACTTTTTGTTCATTTAGTGACATTTCAGATTCCCAAGTGTTGTGAATATGAGACCATCCTTTCCATTTTATCAAATACTGAGGTTCTGTCGATTCCTCATCATTAGGGTCACATCCTTCATTTGGATCTCCATGCTCTTCTATATAATACACTGTTGTCACATTGCCAGTGACTGCATAATGATAAGAAGACATTAGCTAAAATTTAACAGTATATTTGCACCAAAATGCAAATGATAACGAAATTTAAAAAATCAAAAATATACCAAGCATGCAGAAATAATTCTTTCACTTTTTTTCTATCAAAATGTTGTATATTAATTTTGAAATAAAAAAAAAACCTGATTTGATTGATAAAAGAATACGATGTTTATATAAAGAATGTATGCTCTTTTTTACATTTCCTTATGTGCAAAAGCCCTAAAAGTAAATAATTGATACTGAAGATATGTAAATACCTCCTTTCTTCCCACGTCTGTTTCCCAGAACTTTTTCAATTGTTTCACTATGGTCTTCAGGTTCGGGTTCAGCATCTGGATCACCCTCGCCACCTTCCACCTCCAAAAGATCTGAAGAATCAGTTTGTTCATCACTAGCTTCCTTATAGCTGACTGCAGCACCTGTACGTCTCGTAGCTGTTCGACTGGAGGAAATGTGTATTATATTGCATTAAAGACACGAACTTATGTTAAATAAGAACATCATAATGTTTACATAGTATAACATTTTGATCAATTTGAAAAAACTTTATTAGCCTCTATTATTTCATTCTTGCAATTCAGTGATATAATGACATTAATCAAACAAACAATTATATAACATTACGCTCACAAGTACATCTCATGAAAAATAAAAACATACACTGCTGGTCAAAAGTTTGAGACCACAAATAAAAAACTTTTATTATTAATAGATATTTTCAAAATATTGGTAATAAAAATTATTAATATTCTTTATAAAGATTGTATAAAAGCTTATTCTTTTTTATATAAGCCAAAAAAAGCAACAATTTTCTAAAATGGGCAAAGTTCGCAAAATTAGTATTGAAATGCGATCTGCAATCGTTGTTCTCCATAATGAAGGCAAATCTGAACGTAAAATTGCATCTCAAATTAAATTATCGAAGATTCGTGTTCATCACACTATTGTACAGTACAAACTGACAGTAATCAAGATCGTCCACGCTTCGGAAGACCAAAAGCTACGACTTCTAGTTAAAACAAATTTATTGTGGTAACCAACAAGCGAAATAGACGCTAACAGCCCCATAAATTCGTGTTGAAAACAACAAATATCGGAAAAAACCTGTATCAGTGTCTACAGTGCAAAGAAGATTGCGAGACGCCAAGTTGTTTGGTCGCGTTGCTGTTCGGAAACCTCTTTTAAAACGGTAGAATAAGAAAAAACGTTTACAATGGGCTCTACGTCATCGAGACTGGACCGAAGATTAAAAAAAAGGGCTATGGAGTGACATATCTAAATTTGAAATATTTGGTTCAAAAAGAAAAGATGATGCCACAGTGTGTAGTCCCAACTACCAATCAAGCATGGTGGCGAATCTATTATGGTTTGGGGTTGTTTCTCGGCTATGGGAATAGAAATCTAGTCAAATTAAAAAAATTATGAAAAAGGTGCATTATAAAGAAATTTTGTAGAAAAATGCTATTCTATCCAGACTAAAGTTAATCGGCCAAAGATTTATTTTCCAACAAGATAATGATCCATAGCAGAGTTCAAAATGATATAGGGCTATTTAAACAAAAAAGTGTTAAAAAAACATGACATGGCCACCCCAAAGCCCCAATCTTAACCCTATAGAGCTTTTGTGAGAAGAGCTTGACCGAAAAGTGCAAGAACAATGTCCTACTTCACAGCAGGTCATGTAGAATGCATTTTTTTTTATTGGATGAAAATGGAGTGGTAACCCCGCCTGCGCTAATGGGATATGCTGGCGAGGCACCAGTGAAGGGTGATTGATGAGGATGAAAACAGGCCAGTTAGCCCATCATGATGAATTCATCAGGAATTAACCATGATAGTTTCCAGGGGGAACTGCGAGGAGGTCGACCTGGTTGGATATATTGCTAGCAATAGGATTCTTTGTCTCCATTACTAACAATCCCTTTTCCCCCTGTAGAATGCATTAGAAGAAAGCTGGAGGAATATCTCACAAGATTAAAAACAAATTAATTGCTCGCATGCCAAGATTAGTAAAACGGGTCATACAATGCAAAAGAGGATATTTTGATGAAAAATATCTCTAAACTCTCTTGTGTGTGTTTTCTTTAGAACATTGTATTCACCAAGACTTCATGTAATTTTTGAATTTTAAATCTTGTGAGCAACATTAAAACCTGTTTTTCATAAAGTTTTAACTTTTGTTTTTTATATTTTTTATAGTAGTCTCAAACTTTTGACCAGCAGTGTACCTTTATTTTAACAAAATATCATAAATAAACAAGATCTGCTAATGCATAAAAACACATCTTGATAATTAAATTTTAAAAATATTAGAAAACCTATTGTAGAAAACATAACTTATTATATTCATGTTGTAACACAATTAACAAGATTTGCAAAGAATATATTAATGAAAACTAACAAAAAATTAAAAAAAAAATAAACATGACCATACCTCTTCGTCTCCTCATCTGAGCCCTCTGTACTCTCCTCTTCTTCACTTGAAAACCTTCTTCTCCTAGTAGGTTTCTTTTTTCTGAGAGGTACATTTCTTTGGCCTGGTCTTTTTGATGGTGGTGGTGGTGAACCTTTCATATCACTATCACTATCTGATGTATTTGAATTCCATGAATCACTAAAAAAGAAATTAATTATAAAAAAAAAGCATACAACAAACTAATTATAAAATAAAAGAATGTATGTTGTAAAAAATATTAGGGGAGTTATTGTAGATTTCAGTATTTGCAACAATTCAAATACAGAAACAAGACAATATATAACTGCTGTTACAGAACACTAAATTGCATATAAAGCATTTGTTACCTTTTTTTCCTACTTTTCCTATGATTACTTCTTCCTTTCTCGCTGGAATCACTATCTGCTAATTTTAAACGATCGGGTTCTTTACGTGATCTTGCAGATCTTCGGATTCCATATATATCAGGATTTTCTTCCCATAGATCTGATTTTACCCTGCCATGATTATTTCTAGGTCTTGATTTTGTTGGTGAATCATCATCAGTGGACTCCTTATCAGTATGATGATCGGATTTAGAAGAATTAGGATTACTGTGTTTTGGTGAAGACTTGGTGTCATCACTGTGATGTGATCTATCTCCTGCAGAAGATTTTTCTGACCCTGATCTTCCGACAGAGCCTGAACCTGATGAGCTTGATCCACTATCACTGTTCAACACAAATAAATGACAAATGAAGGCAATATACAATTTTAAAAAAATTAAATGGCAGTGAATTTACTGGGTAGAAAGGAATAACACCAGAGTCCTCAGGAATGATAATACATGGGGGGTATCATGGGTGAAACAGTATACTGTTATGTCCATGGTACTGCTCATGTCTATAGTCAATGGTTACCACTTTACATCAGGTGGTCTGTCAGCTTGTTTGCCATTCTAAGTAGCATAAACAATAAAAAAAATATACGAACCTTTCACTCCCTGAGCCTGATCCACTGGAATCACTCTTCTCTCCCTTCTCACTTGTTGACTCACTGCCTGATTCAGTCATAAACCCTTTCTATAATAATTACAAAAAAAAATACTTAATTCATAATGTATACTAAAATATCTAATAAAGAATAAATATATTCAGAAATTTAAAACAATTAATGTGAGACTAAATTTATGATTTAACTACTTAATATATTTTATAAGTATTATGAATGAAATTCGAACACAATAATGATTAAATATATTAAAATATACAAGATTTACAATCTCTTCGAATAAAAAGTAAACACACCCTGATGAAAAACTATAGTTTTATTTTCAACGTTAGCTCATAGACTCCATTTTTTCTACAGAAATAAAAGCTACTGTTTACACAATGTATTACAAATAATATTTAGATGTAATCATACAATTGCATACAAAGATTTGTATTCAAACAAATCATTTATGAAGAAAAGATTGTTTTTTAAGAAAAAAAATTGTAAGCATGCAAGGCAATGTAATAACAAGCCCACTGCCCTTGTATTCATTATTTTTAAAACATAAAAAGCCATACACATAAAAGAATCATATAATACTTGATAAACAGAAGGTATAACCTCAAAATTATTATGTTTTTATGTTGAAATTAATCAGTATTTCTGAAGAATTCAATCAAAATTCCTATGTTTAAATAGGGAACTTTACCAATTAATTTATTATAGTTAGTGGTATATAATGGTATTTATATTAAACAAAATAATAATACATAACCTCAACAACAAATATCTTCAAAGGTAAAGCCAATTTTTAAAGCTAAATTGTAAAAATGGATCTATTTCAAAAATAATTTTCAGTGGCCTTTATAGGAAGATTACGTAACAAAGAAACATTGGATATAGATTATTTTGTGAGACAAGAACATTTTAATACATAAAAACAACAAAATATATTGTAAACAATCACAGAAACCAAGAAATTCACTATTACGTCTTAAAAAATTGTCCCTTTTCAGGGCCACACCCAATGCATTTAGACCACACTCAGACCGTTTAAAAGCTTAAAAATAGAATTAAATATACAAATACACAAAAACAGTTTGAAAAATAGCTAAGAAACACTTACCAAGAGCATTTTGTGGAAATTCAAAGAAAACGGCGTTACTTATATAATTAACAAACGAAACTAATTAAAAGTGAGGATTTCATTGAGAAAACAGCTAATAAAACACCTGTGGTAATGTTTTTAAACATATTTGTAAGAAAAACTAATAAAATATGAAAAACTATTTTTCAGTAATATCTTGTCAAGCGACGCCATTTTGTCGTCGAATGAATTCTGGTGACGACGGAAATGAAAAACACGTAAATTTACCACATAAATTTGATTAAAAGAAGGTAAACAGAAAAAACAATCACTAAAAAATTAAAAATGAAACTTTAGAACCGTCAGAAATACTCCGTTCTATTTGAAATGATGTGAGCACCGCACTCTACCAGCGAAACTCATATTCTACAGCCATATTGCATTATGCCAGCTACCAATTTCTAGTGATGTCTATTAAAAAAAAATTTATAATTAGTATCGATTATAATCAGGTCAATATTATATTAATCGTTTGTATTTTTATACAATTCTTTACAAAATAATACGACTATATTTTTAATATAAATTTATTTTATACTAAATTTTCAATATTATATTAATCGTTTGTATTTTTATACAATTCCTTACAAAATAATACGACTATATCTTTTTAAATAAATATAGAGACGTTATGAGATATTTATATTTAAAATTGAGACACAAACTAGGAACGTATATTATAAATAGATAAAGGATCCGTAAACGTTACCTCTAATGCCTTTACTTTTTTTAAGAGCATTATAAAAATATTTTTTTATATGCAATAAACTTATTTTATATTACTTCAGACATCATATATTATTTAGCCTCTCCGCAATATTTTATGTGGAAATTGAAAAAAAAGTACATTATGAGCTCCCTCTTTAATATCGCATTTGAAGACGCATTTGAAGTATATGGACTCGTTGCCTCTTAGATATTACAGCAGCTCTTAGATACAACAGAGATCTGAGGGGATGTCCTTAGTACCTTGGAGGATATGGCATCCACTTGTATGAGACTTCACCTGCGTCGATATGGTGGTGCCGTCTTAACTTTCAAGTTCATTCATGGCGCTGGTGCCGCCGCAATACACCTGAAATGGATATATATGGAAATGGATATTTGTGTCATTTAGAGTTGAGGCTCTGGATCTGTAGTGCCCCGAGGCCATGAGTCTTTTCAAAGAGATATTGCGTTGGCGAATGAAAACCTCTAAAAACCAGAAGGATGGCCTATACTTTGATTAACGCATTTTCATAGCCATTTAGCGTAAAAATGCAGCAATTCTTCTAGAAACCCTACCAGATGGCAGTGATCTCAAAAAAAGAATCTTTAAGTCAGTTTTTAAAGTCTTGTTATTAATATTTATAGTACTTAGATGATAGATGTGTATATAATAGAAAGACTACTTATATTTTTTATATGTAAAAATATGTATTTACGAATATCTTATAATTGAACTGAATTGAATTTACTTTTATTTCAATTATACCCCCTTGTTCATAAAAGACGATCCTTTCATAAATCTACTTTATCTATTGAATGTTTCGTCTCTTGCTTTTGAGTTAAATTCCCAATTTGACAGAAACTGACAAAACTATATAATAATCAAAATAGATTTGGAGATTTTTTTAAATATATAATTCTATTAATTGTTTAATTCATCTTTATATATCGATTGTTATAATAAAGTCGATACCATTTTTTCTTTTTTTCAAAAATTTTTATTCCTTGTTATAATAGTTAAATGTTATAATAGTCCAGTGTTATAATAGTATATATATATATATATATATATATATATATATATATATATATATATATATATATATATATATATATATATATATATATATATATATATATATAATAGTTTAATATATATATATACAATAAAGACGAGCAAAATCTAATTCATTTTAGCAGAAACCCATTAAATTATTTTTTCATGATCTATATCAATAATTTTGTAATACAACAAAAAAATAATATTAGATTTTAACTTATGAATTGGTATTACAGATTCGATTCTAATGTTTGTAATATAAATAAAAAGTTAACAATGTAAATTCCCATCTCTATATAATGAAAGTATTTTAACGTAATATCCGTTTTTGATAAAAATGTTACCATATTACAATAAATTATCTGTATTACGTAGATAAGGTATAATAAATGTTATTTTATTTCAAATAATAAAAAGAAATAAATTATTCCTCCATAAACCTTAAACGATTTAGAGATTTGTCAATACCATACATTAAGAAAAATACCTTACGATCAATAGCCAGTTACTTATTACCCTACACTACTTATACCACAGTCTATAGGTACAATACATATTTAGACGTACTACATAACGATATTAAACACAGCATGTACTATATACTAAGACTAAGGATAGTATATGTAGTCCTCTTTCTTTGTTTTGCGGTATATTTATATTATTGCCTTAAATCATAAAAAAAAAGTGCCATAAGTCCTTAATCTATGCTACAAACTAACATGTGATCGCTATTCTATTCTAAGAGTCGCTACTGATAAACAAATGAAGAAAATAAACTATTGCAACCACTTTTTTTTAATGGATGATAATGGACCCCGCTAGCGGTCCATGCTAGCAGACACTACTGAAAGATGATAGGTGAGGATGAAAAGGGAAGTCAGTTAGCCTATCGTGACGAACATACCTGAAATTCAGCTCATTAGTTTTAAGAGGGAGGTCAGCTGTAAAGGTATATTGCTAGCAATGAGATCGGTAGTTCGCATTACTAACAATACCCTCCCCTTTTGCAACCACTTGCAAATAAAAAATGAAAATGTATCATATTAAACATTAAATTTCAATTAACCACACCCTGCAATTTTCAGATGTCAAATTATAACGCTTGTGTTTTATTAACCATTACAGAGTCCAGTGCCCTAATTCCTAACCATTAAGAAGTTATGTTTTCCATTATCAGCTCAACAAAAGATATTGACTACCAGATGCCTGTCAAAATTTGAGGGTTTGTCCGATTTCCTTAGGATTCCATCATCAGATCTTGATTTGATGACAATAGGGCAAATGACGATGTAAGGAATACACTGTTTCGATTAAAAAAATAAATTTTAAAATCGGTCCACAACTAACGAAGAAATTGGTAGACACATAAAATAATATAATCGACCATATAACCTCCTTCTTTTTTGAAATCGGTTAAATAGAGTTTGACGTAACAGCACTACTTGTAACATAGACTAAATATTTAAAAATTGTTTTATATTCGAAGTGACTTGAATGACATTTTTCATTGCATCTTTACTCTATTTTTTTTTTTATACCATTAATAATTAATAATAATAAAAAAACACAAATAAATGTTTTTTTTTTTTGGGGAAAAAGGCGGGAAACTCGAATAAGAACAAGCGGGTTTTTTTTTAAATTTTTTATTAATTTATTAAAACTATCTCTATCAATTCTTTTTATTGAATAAAATATTATATTTTCACTAAATTCAGCGACAGTAATATAATTAGCATTCATGGGGAAGCGCAGTTGTAGAAAAAGGAAAAAAAAAGATGACGATTCAGGTGATGTAGACCATGAACCTTGTAATGACAAGGATATATATTCGGAAGATACTTCTACTGACTCAGAATCTGAAATTGATAAGGCCGATAAGTATAAACCTTACTAGTCACAGATTATATTAGAAGATATCCCGAGGAATCCCCTGGGACAGAATTTGTTGTCTTTGTAGAATCCTCAGATAGTCAGAAAACCATTGGATCCAGAGACTTGCTCTCACTCTCCTCCTGTTTAAAACGATTGAATAAAGGGGTAACTTATCTTAGATCTATAAATAAATTCAAAATCGGAGTATACTTTCAAAAGCCAGACTTAGCCAATGCTTTTTTAAATAATAAAACTTTTTTAAATGACTACCATTTAAAGGCCAGTATTCCTGCTTCTTCAACAGAAGTTACAGGCGTTATTAGAAATGTACCTACAAATATATCTAATAAAAAAATATATACTATGATATCGAGTTCTAAGAAAATTATTGCTATTAAAAGAATTTTAAGAAAAAATACCTTGACTCATGGATATGTGTTACAGCCAACTCTAACCATGACAATTACTTTTGCTGCATCTGTATTACCTGAATATCTGGATATTGGAGGTTGGCGCCACAATGTCACTCCATATATACCACCAGTTAAACAATGCTACCGGTGCTTGAGGTATGGACATTTAGCTAAATTCTGTAAGAATTCTGAGCGTTGCAGTATCTGCAAAGGTGAGCATAATTATAAAACTTGTACAACTGGAATGGAAAACGCTATTTGTGTACACTGCAATGGAAATCACACAAGTGTATCACCGCAATGCCCTGTTAAACAAAAGAAAATTGCTGAAAATAGATCTAAATTCAGACCTGCTTCTTTTGGAGACATACTTAGCACTGAAATATTTCCTAAACTGGGTAACAAACCTAAAAAAAATGTAGACCTTATTTCAATTCTGAATTCTGATAACAAGAGTTTATCACTTTTAATAGAAAGCATAATCAAACTTATTTCACTACATAACACAAAGAACACATCTATTAACACTAAAAGTGTTTTGAATGTGTTATATGATACTATTGGTAATAGTAACCTATTTCACAAAATTCAATCGAGACCAACTAACTATCATACAGTGGAACGCTCAGAGCCTACTGAGCAATCGACATATTTTTACACAATTTTTAAATGAACATCATATTCATATTGCTCTCATCTCGGAAACTTGGCTAAAACCACATTACAAATTAAAAATTAAAGATTATTGTATAGAACGAAATGATTGTGGTAATAACCACAATGGAGTAGCGATTATTATACATAATAGTATTAGATATAAAAAACTTTACTCTTTTTTCGACAATTCTTTGCAAACTATAGCTATTAGTATTGAAGTTAATAATTCTTGGTATTCAGTTGCCAGTATTTACTGTCCTACCAATAGTACACCTAGTTTTACTAAAGCCAAATTTAAGTTCTTTTTGGAGTCTCTTCCTAAACCCACTATCATATCTGGAGATTTAAATGCACATCATACTATGTGGGGTTGTACCTCCACTAATACTAGAGGTAAAGACATTCTTGATTGTTTAGATGAATGTAATTTGGTACTATTAAATGATAAGCAAGTTACTACTGTTGACTCGCATATTTGGAGACCCAATGGCCTTGATTTAACTATGGTATCCCCATCCATATCATTAAAATGCGAGTGGTCGGTTCATGATGATCCGTTAGGAAGTTATCACCTGCCGACTTTTACTAAAATAAACACAAAGAACTCTTCATCAACTCCGTCAGGTGAACAACATGCACCTATAGATGAAGTTAATAAACTTTTGTTAAATCGTATAAACCTACGTCTCGTTAATTGGGATCTTTATTCCGAAACTGTTAATAAATTACTTTTGGATTTCGAGTATGATGTCAATGAACCTTTAAACAATTACAATAGGTTTTGTAAAATTATTTTGACAGCTGTGGAACGTTACGTTCCACGTAGGAACTTATCAAATAGCGGTGCAAATACTTCAAAGAGGCACAAACATATTGCAGTACCTTGGTGGAATAACAGGTGTGCGACAGCTGTCAATGATAGTAAAGCGGCTTACCTTAGGTTTAAACAAAATCCAACTCTCGATAATTACATAAATTTTAAAAGAGTTCAAGCTGTTAAAAAGTTAGTAATTAAGCAAGTAAGACAACAGGGGTGGCAGGAATTTTGTTCCAAATTTAATAGATTAACACCAATTTCCACTGTTTGGCAAAATATGAGAAAACTAAATTCAAAACATCGTCAAAATCATTTTAAAGATATATCATGGGTCAATGATTTTTTACGCAAATATACTCCTGATTTTATACACTCACCTTTTGATGACAAACAGTTTAATTCTGTTAATTCATGCCCAAAATTTTTCACTGACCCATTCTCAATTGATGAAATATTCAGTGCAGTAAAATCTAGAAAAGATACAGCTAGTGGCCTTGATCGCTTAACATACAATATGTTTCGATTGCTGAATAAAATAAACCTTACTAAACGCTTACAAATTTTTAACGATTTATGGAAGGACTGTATTATCCCACCAGAATGGAAAATGGATTGTTTGATTCCAGTAATTAAACCCGGTAAAGATCCTACAAATTTTGACTCCTATAGACCTATAACATTGACGTCCTGTGCAGGCAAATTATTCGAACAATTAATTAAACAGCGTTTAGAGTTCTTTATTGAAAGTAATAGTATATTACCATCGAATCAATTTGGTTTTCGTCGTGGATATTCAGCGCGCGAAAGTTTAGCGAACTTCTATGTCGACCTTAGTACTGCTTTGAATAACGATGAATATGTTCTATCTGTTTTTTTAGATGTCGTAGGAGCTTTTAACAATGTAAATTTAACAGTTCTATCTTCGATTTTATCCTCATTTCTACCAATGAAACTTATCGAATGGATTTATAATTTTCTTAGTAATAGAGAAGTGTATGTTAAAGTAAATAGTAAATTAATAGGACCTAGGTTAAGCTCTAACGGAGTATGTCAAGGTGGTATTCTAAGCCCGCTACTATATATTTTATATATCTATAAACTTAATTCAATTTTAGGATACAGTGTAAACAACTTGCAATTTGCCGATGATTTATTAATTTATATAAAAGGAAAGAATATTATTGATATGCAATTAGTGTTAAATGAGTCATTAAAAAGACTTGAGAAATATTTTTCTCTTCTTTCCCTCGATATTAGTTCAACCAAAAGTAAAGTAGTTATTTTTCATCAAGTTCATAAATATGTTCCATTAATCAATATTATATATAATAATCAAACTCTTCCAACAGACTGGAGCGTTAAATTTCTGGGGGTAATTTTTCATCAAAATTTAAAATGGGATCTATACGTTGATTGCTTAGTAGATCGTGCTTTAAGAGCCACTAATATAATAAGATCTGTAATTGGTCGTAACCGGGGAGCTGATCCTAAAATTATCCTTTTACTTTACAAATCTCTTGTTAGAAGTAATTTTGATTACGCTTTCTTTTGTTATGCCTCAGAACATAAATTAGTAGAAAAACTCGAAAAAATTCAAAATATGAATTTAAGATTTATTTTAGGTGCTATGTATATTTCTCCAATTATCTCAATGCAAGTAGAATGTAATTTGCCTCCTATCCTTCTTCGTTTCGAATACTTAAAACTCAAATTTCTCTTCAAAGTTTTTTCAGTTTCCAATAACCCACTCATACTCAAATTATTAAATTGCCCCATTTCTATGTTTTTGAATAAAACTATTGTCAATGATTTGAATTTACGAGATGAATATAACATCTATAGTAGTAAGATACTTCCTTGTTATAATGGCCTTTATGAGAGTAAGTTCTGTAAGATCAAAATTGTTATACGTAAAGACATAAAAGAAAAGCACGATATGTATGAGACTTTATCAGAATTTATTGACTACAGGCAGATATATACAGATGGTTCCAAAAATGCACTTAGCACTTCAGTGGCTTTTTACGATTTGTCAAATAGATTTGGTCACGGTTATAAAATTTCAACTTTGGCTAGTATTTACACAGCAGAAGCAAAAGCTATATTTTTAGAATACATAGAAAAACAGGTACTACATTCGAAATGGATTATAATTACAGATAGTATGAGTGTTCTTATGGCATTAAAAAATAACACATTCATTTCATCATCAAACTATTTAATTCAAGAAATTCGTAATAAATATTATCATCTCTGTACTATATATGGAAAAGATATAATCTTCATCTGGACCCCTTCACATATTGGAGTGTTTGGGAATGAGCAAGTAGACACTTTGGCTAAAATTATTAATTCAAGTGCTGCTCGTGTTCAAGATTTACCCCTTTGTTACTCAGACTGTAGTATTGGAATACATAAAATCGTTACAACTAAATGGGAGGAGCATTAGACTCAAATATTACAGACTAAAGGCAAATGGTACCGCAAAATTAATTGGCGTTTTGGAAAAACTGTGGAAAAGTTCTGCAAAGGAAAGGATACAAACAGAAAATTTTACACCAATATTTGTAGATTACGAATCGGCCACGGACATTTCAACGAACACCTGCACCGAATGGGCATGATCGCTTCCCCATCATGCACATGGTGTAAATCAAATACAGTCCAATCTCTACATCACCTTTTTTTTTTTGATTGCTCTGAATTTGACATCCAAAGACATATTATGTTTGACGAACTTCAAATTATCTTCAAAAAACCCGAAAATATCCCGCACTCAATCTCGCTTCTCTTAAGATTTCCTTCTTGTTTCAAAGCTATTTTCACTTATATTACTACAACATTCAAGGAGCTATAAGAATACTTTTATTGAATTGCAAGATAATGATTTTTTATAATTACTTATTTTTAATTTGATAAATCCACTGGTTTAAGAAAACTCAAGAAAAGAAATTTATGAAAATATACCTACCGGATTTGACAAATGAAATATTGAAGATTATGACTGAATAATTGAAGCGACATTAGAAAAATAAAATTCCAGACAAATTATCACTTTGAAGACTAGGCAGCATGGTCTCCGACCTTAGCCTGTTCCACAACGGAACAAACGTACTGAAAAAAAAATAAAAGTAAAGAAACAACGATATTTTTATTAAAATCAATGTTATTGATTCCAGACAAATTATCTTTTTGAAGACTAGGCAGCATGGTCTCCGACCTTAGCCTGTTCCAAACGGAACAAACGTACTAAAAAAAAAAAAATCAATGTTATTGTTCTACCATTTTATTTTCATTTATTTTCGTTCGATTTGGAAATTACTAAACTTTAAAGGTTTATATCAAGAAAAAAACCTGTCCCGTATGGGTTTTTATAGTTTTCCTGACATCCTCAGTGCAAAATTGCTTATCTAAACTATCTAAACATCGTGAAAGGTATCCTGTAAGTATAAATTACGAATATAGATTCTAGTTAGTTTCCACTATTAATTTATTATTTATCTTTTACTATAATTTTTCTATAGAGACTAAATGAAGTCACCTCTGTTCCGTATTTTGTTCTTAATGTATAAGGTGGGGGTGAGTAGATTATTAGTAAGGAATCATCGTGGTTAATGATCGTGGATCGACATCCACGTGGCTGGGCATTCATGAACTAATTTCATCCTTTACTAATGCCCTATGATGGATGTGGAATGTTATAGGAGACCAATAATGTTATTTAATATTTAAATATTTTATTACGTACAATGTTACAACGATTATTTTAGTGACAAGACATAAGTCAGTTTATTTTTCTATTTAATTGAGCTGTAGGTCTATGGCCGTGTACAACCTCTTTCTTACACTCCTCCTCACGGCATAGTATCTACCTACTGTAGGAGTCCCAGCTCTTGGTGACAGTATTCATATTTAGGACGAGGCAAAGCTTTTGTAAAGATGTCCGCTATCATATTCCCTGTTCCTAAGTATGAAAGTTGCACCACATTTTGTTGCACCATATCTCTTATAAAATGTTGGCGGATATCGATATGTTTGGATTTGGCGCTAATGATAGGGTTTATTGCTAACTGTTGTGCGGCTTGATTGTCGTTGTGAATAGTAATTCCTTTTTGTTTAAAGTAACCCAAATCAATTAGAATATTTTTCAAATGAACAGCCTCTTTTGTACATTCGCTCAAAGCCATGTACTTGGCTTCCGCCGTTGAGAGTGCTACAGTCCTTTGTTTTCTTGACTCCCAACTTATGACCGCACCGTTCTTTATAAAACAATGACCGGTATATGACCGTCTATCTAATGGACACGATGCCCAGTCAGCATCTGCGTAACCCTTTAAAATTTTATCTCCATTCTTGTGGAATGTTAATTTTAAATCTATTGTACCTTTTAAGTATCTAATTACGCGCTTTGCAGCTGCCCAGTGTTCTTTTCCATAATACGCATTGAATTGACCAAGATAGCTAACAGCATGAGCTATGTCTGGTCGCGTGGCAACTGACAGGTACATGAGGGCTCCAATCAAGTTTCTATAGGGTAAGTTCGAATCTGGATGTTCTTCTTTCTTTAATTTTAATGCTGTCTCCATAGGAGTTGCCACAGGTTTTGCATCTTGCATGGAGAATTTCTTAAGGATATCTTTAATGTATTTCTTTTGACTCATAGTAATTTTTCCCTTATCCTGTTTAAATTCTATACCTAAACAGTATTTCAACTCTCCGATGTCTTTCATTTCGAACTTTCTCTCTAGTGCTTTCTTTACTTCTTTTAAAATTTCTGAACTTGAATATGCTATAATTAAATCGTCAACATAGACTATTATTATTATTTTATCTCCTCCTTTCTTCAATAGGTATATGCAAGGATCTGCATTACTTGATTCAAAACCTATATCTTTTAATTCTGCATCTAATCTTTTATACCATTGGCGTCTGGATTGTTTTAATCCCTATAAAGCTTTCTGGAGCTTGCAAACCTTTTCTTCTTTAATATTTCTAATATCTTCTAGCATCTGTTTAGCCTTATTGAAGAATGTTAAATCATTTTGACTACTTTCGTCAACCATAATTTCCATTACATATTTTTCTAAGTAAGGAGGCATTTTCATTTGTATGTTTTCTTCTAGCTCTCCATTAAGATAGGCTGTAGTAACGTCCATTTGATCTAATTTTAGATTATCCTCTATGGCTGAACTAATGACTGATCTAACAGAACTTAGTTTCACAACGGGGGAAAATGTTTCAGTATAATCTACACCAGGTTGGTGTGTGAATCCCCGCGCTACTAACCTAGCCTTCTTTATTTCAGTGTTATCTGCTTTCGTTTTTATTCTTAATATCATTTTTCCATTTGTGGCCTTGGAAGGTACTCTATTCGTTATATAATTCGCCGTGTGTATAGCTTCGGCCCAAAAACTTTCTGGTATTTTTGATTTGATTAACATGCATCGAGCTTTTTCCAAGAGAGTTCTATTTCTCCGTTCAGCTAACCCATTATGTTGGGGCGTATAAGGAGCTGATAAGCGTCGAGCTATGCCATTTTCCTTTAAGTACGTGTTGAATTCATTATTAACATATTCCTTTCCGTTATCTGCCTGCAAGATTTTTATTTTATTTCCTGTATATCTTTCCATTTCCTTTTTATATTCTATAAACTTTCCTAAAACTTCATTTTTATTTTTCAGAAAATAGACTCTGCCATATCTGCTGTATTCATCCGTAAAGGTGACGAAGTATCTGTGATCTCCGTTACTATTTACGGGCATTGGACCACACACATCTGAGTGTATTGTATGTAGTTTTTGAGGAGCTTTTGTTTCTTCAGGCCTTTCCTTCGGAAAAGGTAAATTCGTCATTTTTCCTTTTACGCAACTTTCACATTCATTTAATTTGTCATTCTCATTAAAATCAATGCCTTTTATTATATTATTTCTCATAGCTCGTTTTAAATCATATTCATTTAAATGTCCTAGTTTTTTGTGCCATATGTCTATATCTGATTCTTCTTTATAGACTTGATTTGCTTTTTCTTTTGTGCTTAAATTTGCATTCACATAATAAAGTTTATCTTCCTTCCTTGCTGTAATTATTGGTTTTCCATTTGGATTTTTAATAATTGCATTATTTTTTGTAAATAATACGTTAAAACCATTTTCAGTAATTCGTGCTACGGATATCAAATTAGTTGATAACTCTGGAATATATAAGGTATTGTGTAAATTTACTGTTTCATTTTTAATTTTTATCTTTACTAACCCTTTGCCTTCTATCTTTTCTGTTTTATTCGAGGCTAACTTAAGTGTTCCATTTTCTTCTTTATTTATGAACACGAAAAGAGTTTTATCATTGCACATGTGGGATGTGCACCCACTATCAATGCACCATTTATTATCATTTTTATTTTCTATAGTATAACAAGATTCAGTGCAATATAAATTTACATTTTTATTTCTTACATTTTTGTTAAACCAACAATCACTTGTTTTGTGTCCAAATTTATGACAGTTGTCACATTGTATTCTATTTCCATTTGAATTCTTATTTTTGAATTTTTGAAATCGATAAGATTTTTGTTTATGTTTCCCTCCATAAAATGCTTCTTCTTCTTCCTCCTTTTCCAGATTTTTATTTAAACGAGCTTCACTTTCTTCAATAATTTTTGTTTTGAGTTCTTCGAGGTACGGAAGTTTGTCACGGGACTCGATTGCCACTCTGAAGTTCTCGTAGGAATCTGGCAAACTGTATTATAACATTATGCTCAGGAGGTCTTCATTGATGCTGATGTCCATGTCTTTTAATTTATCCACCAAGTCGATGAATTCATTTATATGATCTCTGGCGGATTCATCATGTTTCATTTTTTTGTGTAGTAACTTTTTTAATAATGTTGCTTTTCGTGCAGGTCCACGACTTTCGTAAGCGTTTTTAAGGGTCTCCCATACGTCTTTTGCTGTTTTGCATGATTTTACTAATTTAAGTTGGGACGGCGAAATTATTAATAGCAGTTCGGCTTTGGCCAATAAATCTTTTTCTGCATTAATATCGGTTGATGATAAACATGTAAAAAGTCCTGCTTTTATGAGTACAGCTTCTGCTTGTATTTTCCATGTATCATAATTTGTTTTATTAAGATGTTCAAATCCAACTTGATTTTTTGTATTCGCCATCTGTGCGTTGCTGGCCCATAACCTGATGGATGTGGAATGTTACAGGAGACCAATAATGTTATTTAATATTTAAATATTTTATTACGTACAATGTTACAACGATTATTTTAGTGACAAGACATAAGTCAGTTTATTTTTCTATTTAATTGAGCTGTAGGTCTATGGCCGTGTACAACCTCTTTCTTACACCTCACTACAGTAGGTAAACTAATATTGGGGTTATTATTCTATTTTCATTAATAATCGACTACTGAACATTAGCCTACTGAATTGCACTAAGTCACTTGCACCAATGGACTGCAATTTATTTAAGGTCATCACTTCATCTAAACTGTCCCTAAGATCAGTACCTTGAATCTTTGTTAGATAGTCAGTACCATCTAACAATGATTGCCTTTGCACTACATATGCTAGGTTATAACTCAAGAACTTTTCTAATATTTTTCAGTGCCTTACGCATTGTAGTCAACTGCTTACCCTTGTACTTTAGTTCTTCTATTTATTGAATATTGTTCTTTTATTTATTGAATCTATCATGTAGTAAAACAATATAGGTGACAGCTGTAATTTTTTTTTTTCAGAGTAAAAATGTCAATTTCTATTCTACTACTACCAGAAGAAGTTTTAATATTGTTAATCAAAAAGTTAGATACGGTTTCACAGTATAATTTATATAATACATGCACATATATCAGAGATATTATTGGCAGACATATTGTGGTGAAAAAATGTCGGCTGTCTTTGAACACTCTGGCTACTGTACAGTCATTGAAACTGAATTTCTTCAAGGATATATCATACCATTTACAAGAACTTAATATGTGTGGTGTTCCTGATTTACGTAAGGTGCATTTATTACCAGTTATGAACAAATTGAAAAACCTTAAAACTCTGGATATTTCATACACATTTCTTACGGTTCCTGATTTTGTTGAGATTCACAAACTGTGCCCTACTATTAGAAATATCACAATGAATTTCATGCTTAGCAAAACTGACATATCAATAGAAACAACAGCAATAGTGGAGATGCAAGAGTGCTTCAAACAAATGGAAAATGTGCATTTTGTTGGTGCAGCATACAATTTGTTATATTCAAAACTATCCATTCTTATTTTAAACAATTCTATATTAAATAATTTGACATATTCAATTTCACAGAGAGATATTCTTACGTACCATTTAGAAGAGAATATCTCTTGGGAACCAAAAATTAAGTTTAAACTATTCCGAGTGTATCTTTTGGATTGGGATAAAACATTCACATTGTGTTCTAGTTTTTCAATTTTTAAATTGTTTAATTTTGGGAAGTATGAAGTATTAATTATTATTGCAAATACTAATACTCTGTTTATGCATTCTGTTGTTGCTACACCTTTGTTAAAACAGTTTATCAGTGATAATTTTATGTGTAATATTGAGAGTTTTATAAGATTACACGATTTATCTGGAAATGCTGTCATAATGATGTGGGAAAAAGAATCTGTTAAATTTGATAGTGAATTTTATTCACACCTAAAGAAACAGTTGGAAGATTACTTTGTTTATAAATGTGATGCACATTCTATGACTCCATTACCAGAGAACTGCAAATGGATTTATACAAGACCCACAATGCCAGTTGTCACTGACAAAGAGTCCAATTGTAAAGTGGGCATGTTAAAAAGAAAACGAAAGGCACCCCAGAGTATTGTATTGGACTATGATAAAGTGTTTCAGCATAAAGAAAAATTGCAATTAAAGATTGATTTTGTACAATTACTTAAAAGTCCAGTAACATTATCAGCTAATTGTGATTATTTAAAGAAATTAACATTTTTAAGTTTGTCAGGTTTAGCTTGTTTCAGTGTGGAATTTTTCAATATTTTATTCAGATGTTGTGACAATCTCATCACTTTGGATGCTGTTATTCGATCTGAACTGTTGGGTGGATCACCCTTATCAAGATCTATAGCATTGAGTAAGAGTTTGAAAAATGTAAGACTGGTTGATAGGAAATTTGATTTTAAATCATTGTTTTTATACTTAAGTCAATGCAAGACATTAGAAAATATTCATTTGCAGATAACTTCCTCTGTTATACCTAATGATTTGCCAGATCCTAGTATTATAATTAAAAACTGTAACAACTTGTACAGCTTTAGCATCAAAATGTCAACTTTAGATACTTGTGTAATAAAAAAATCAACAATGTATTATAAAGTTAAAAATCAATTTGGGAAACACTATTTGAATATAGAGCTTTACCCAGACCGATTTAAAAAATTTAGTTATTATCCATATATAGATGTATTCAACATTTATCCAATTAAACCAAATTAATTTTATTTAATATTTGTTATTGTTGTTTAACATTTGTGGCATATTAATTAAGATTTTGCATGATTATGATGATAAGATACTCTTGATTTATGGTGTATAAGAGATGGGAATTTTAGTAAAATTTTATAATTATTTATAACATGTTGCAAAGGAGAATGTAAAAATTTGAGTCTGATCGGTACTAATATTTAAAATTTCTATCGAAACTGCCTGTAAATGTTGTTGAATATGTTAAATACACTAGTTATCTCGTTTATGCAATATGATTACCAATTTTCCCGTTACACCAATCGATTTTTGGATAAAAATCTGTTATTTCATAACTTGGGTGTCATAATTTTTATTACGTCTATAGGAGTATTTTTGTGATAAATATAGTATCTTCTACCTTTATATTTATTATATTTTACAGTAATTATTTAAGATATATTTTAATGTAGCAATAAAATACGAAATAATACAGAGTCAATATTATATTGTAGGTTTACATGAAAATGTTAATCTTGTAAAAGACAATGATATAATGCCTAAAACTGCACTGCCACCACAAGCAAATGTCAGCACACCTCTGTAGTACTGCGGGCAAGCTGCTACTTCATCACATTTGCTGAAAATAATATATTTTTTAATTAGAAAATATATTATTGATTAAAGGTAGTTTGATGAATTTATTAAGTTTATTACAACTACTAGTACTCGATTAGTAATACTGATATGACGCCCATGATAGAGCGCCGTTGTAAGTTTATTAAATTCACGTAACCAATGAATACATATGACTATTTCTAAAAAGTGGAGAAACTGAAAAGGGACAATATACATGACATGGATATTTTTATGTATTTTAGCAAACTGTATTACTACATAAGTAATGTATCAAAAGTTCATAGTAAATATAATCTTCCAAGTAGAAGCATGAATTGTATTATCGTATATTTAGTACTAATATAATTCAAAAATTCGAATTGCATTAAAAAAAACTGTTTCTGTAAATGATTCTCTGTTGTAAAATGCATTTGCGTCATATTGCAAATAAAACCAGGAATTGTACGATTTAACACGATCGGTTGATAGAGCTTAGAAGTACTTTGATAAACAACAAACATTTGCAATAGCTGAAAATTGCAGGACATTGTTGTCGAATATCATTTTTGACATGTTTTGTATTACTTAAAAAAAAATTAGCGTGCAAACGTCTACAGTTGTTTCTGTAGTTTAGAAACTATAATTACTTACTATTATGAATTAGTTTTGTCTTTTGCCACTTGATCGCAAATGACGCTGTTTGTCTAATAAAAAAAAAAAAAAAAACAGCTAGTGATTAGTAAACAGTCCTTTTTATGTAATACTATTTTATTAATAATCAACAATCGCTCATGTATTGTTAGACGCACGCATGCATTCTAGAAGTTAGAAAACCGATGAAATAAATAACTTCTAGGGTGTGTATCAAGATAAAACATATATCAGTTTTTAAGTTAGACCTCCAGAAATACAACTGTGAAAGCCACACCTAATTTGGTACAGCAATTTTTGTGTGATACCGAAAAAACATACAGACAGACAATATTTCTAATTGTTTTTGCTTTTATTGCTCTTCCCCTCATATTTTTTTAAATATTATTTCTCATATATAGACATCGTCTAGTTACAATTTTATTAGTAAAATTACTATCAACTGAATACAATCAATATGATTAACTAGGACCCTACCATTCGTGTAGCAAATTGTACGTTCATAGCACGTAGACTTGTATGTGAACTTTGTATTTGCTCTGGTTTGCACTTAGTCCTCAAAATATGAGAAGTATTTTTGTTACAATTCTTAAAAGGACACCTCTGTGACAAATTATTACTTTTGATTTTTGAAAATTCTGATAACCGTATACCTAAAACTAATATTAATATATACAAATTCTGTGTCACAAAGTTTGTTAACGCTAATAGCCGCTCACCGTTTAACCGAATTTAATGAAATTTTCAAAATTTGTGTTTTTTTTACTTCAGCTTAAAACAGAATAATTTTTATCCCCATAATTGGCGCTGTTGTCTAGATATATATTTCAACAAATATTTAGTGCAGGAAAGTTTATATATTTATTAGCTGATTTTGTATCCCATCTAGCTTTTACGCTTAGTACTTAAATATTGTCCCTTATTGTGTTCCCAAACTTGTTGTACAGTTGCTGTCTTAAAATGGTCTATGATCTCAGTATGGTGCTAACTAAATATGTATATAGATTTATAATCTATTTAATTTTTTTAACTTAGACTTAATTTATGTATATGTACTATAATTGGAGATAGTAATGCAAAAAATAGACATTTTTGTGAACAGTCTAGGTAATATGTTTTTTACATAACTGGCTCCGATTAAGATCTCTCATATTAGTTTAGGATAATTTTATAATCATGTTTTTGTTGTGTATTTTCGCTCGTATGAACTAGCTTAGTTCATATTGTTTTACAATGAATACTAGGCATTATAATATTACAAGTACCAGCTTGTTATGAATACTTATGTTTTTGGTTTTAAATTTTGTTTCCTTTAATACTTTGTAATATATCTAATGTAATATTTGCTACGTTGGTTATTTCTTAGTGTTAATCGCTTCGTGGTTAAGAAATATGGTATCTAGTGTAATAATAATTTTTTGTCAAGACTGATCTTAGGAGTACCTAAATTTGAGATGTATAGTAATGGTGGTGGGTCCCCATTAAAATAGTTTGATGATTGCACATTCTAATGCTGACAAAACTTAACACTAATTGAAGAACTGATAGTCCTGCTGTTAATTTTAGTATGTTTGATTCATACGTGGTTTCTATGGAATGGATTTTGTAATATAATAGTCTTGTCTATGATTACTAATAAATATCTTTGTCTATTTTTATTCTATCTTTTGTCTATGATTACTAGTAAATATGCCTCTAGCAAAAAACAATCTGAATCTGAAAATTGGCAAATAAAGTGATAAACGAATCTATGTGGGTATGTGTTAGTGGGAAACGAATGATACGTTATTGCAACTGCGTGTAAGAACTAAAACGAGATTATTTTTTCATATGTAAGCCCTATTGAAGATGTTTCATCAATGTATTGTATTATAATATATTATATTTACCTTTTGTCTATGGGACTGGTTACTAAAAAAATTAAATAATAGACAATAACTTGGCTGTCATTTCAAGCATCATGGTATGAAAAAAGAAACAGATACTCACTAATTCTCTATAGCCACAACTGCTATTCCTGTAACGAGTTTGTCAGCAAATGTTACAATAGAGTAGATTGCTGCGCCTTGATGTGAATGCGGGCCTATTAAATCTGCTGTTATGCAAAGACTTGAAACTAGAGTAATCGAGCTGCCAGCACCTGTATATCGTTATATATGTAAATAATGAAATAAAAATCAATAGGTATATAATTAACATTAACTGGAGTTAATAAAAAATTGATATTACACAGAAATTGTTCAAGTAATAAAATACACAGTGGTATTAATCCATATAAAAACAACAGGATCAATATATAAATAAACCCTGCTATTATTGTAAAAAGACCTATCAAAATCGGTCAGAACTGGCAAAGCTTAAGATATCGCGTAATATACATACAAAAAACATTACAGGAAATTTCAGAATCGACCTATTGTTTCTTGAAATCCGTTAATAATTTAATATTCCTATTGCAGGTAGGTATAATATAAGACTATAATATTTATTTCATATAATTTTGAAACTTACCAATAAGCGTAGCGACTAAATATATTTGAACGATACTTGCGTCTGGATCAATAGCTAGCGCTATCCACAGACAACTAATCAAACTCAAGAAGCTACCAATAAGATACGCCATCTAAAATCATAATTCGATATTTAATTATTATAAAGGTTAACATTTTAATACCATAAAAATAAACCAATGTTGTTATAAAACTAGCAGCATAGTACCGACAGTTTTTTATGTCTGCATTAATGAAATACAAGAAGAAAGATACAATCTCGGTGCCAAACTTCGTTCAAAATTATTTTTTCATTATACAAACATTAAACATTTTCAAAATAATAATTTTAATTATTAGTCGAATGTATCGAACTTAATAATAATTTACGATTAACATACATTGGGGTCTATACTGAAGCGCCATTTCTCTGAACCTATCTCTTAATGTAATATTTTATTTTGATAATTTCGCGATATTACTGTTTCATGAACCATCATGGATTAAAGTCAAAATTATTTTGATTTAACTCTTTTAGAAAATGAGGTCACATTGGTCCTTGTAATAAAGATTTCGCTGTGATATCTGAATTGTAATTTTTATTTTAGAGGTACCTACATTAAAAAAAAAATGACGCCTCAGAATCGATCCTACTGTATTGATAAGGAATACATACATAGTTTCCACAATTATTTATTTTGCTTTTCAGTAGGAGTGTGAAAAAGAATGAAGATATATAAAGTACGAGAGGTACACTTGCGACCAGTTCAGATCCTGCACTAGGGTTGACAGAAAGGCGTTCTTCCAAAAATAATGGTACATATACTAAGCTCAGGGCCCAATATAATCGAGAGAAAACATATCTGAAATTTAATAAAATATATAGGTAAATATACAGTCAGTTGACAAATTGAACTAAGTAGGAAAACTCGGAAATTATATATACACATCTTTTGTGAAATATCACAAAGTTTAAAGACGAAAATGCTTGTTGCTTTGATGCCTATTTAGTTAGGAATGCAGGGCATCGTTAGCTTTTGTATAATAGCTTCAAATTGTTCAGCGATCACTTAAATAGGCTACGCTTGGAGATTTAAATACCTACTGTGTGTTAGAATCTGAAATGAGGATATCCGCAAAGGTAATAACCGATTAGTATAAAGGATCAGCAAGTTCATGTAGCAATGGACTGTCCACATAAATTGAGCTACTAATAAAGACGAAAAAAGGTTCTAGTAAAAACTTCATACTAGCAAATGCTGTTATAGAATGATGAGGTGGTCCATGAAGCGAGGTATTTAGTACCTATATTGTCACTGGGTTTTAGCTTCAGTTGATTTACTCACTACCATTAATTGCATAAGCTTACCCTATTTAAATCCTATAATACACCAATCAAGAACATATATCCTGTATCATAGATCTGCATGGGAGAAAGGGATTATTAGTAACGGGATTTAATAGCCTCATTGCTAGGAGTATACCCTAATAGGTCGACTTCCACGCGGCTCCTCTTGGAAATTACCATAGTTAATTCTTGATAAATTTGTCACGATGGGCCAACTGACCTACTTTTATCTTCATCTATCATGCTTCACTGGTACCCCGCCAGCGGGCCAGCGTATACTGATACTGCATATGGGGTTACTATTTCATCTACATCCATTAAAAAAACCTTAGATCTGCATCTGAGATGGTGCATGAATAGAATATCTTAGATAATACATCTGTTGCTTTATAATGCATATTTTAGATATTATTATCTGTAGTTGTATGGAACATAATGAAAATAAAAGAAAGCAATCTAAAAGGTAAATTATTTTTTTACTTACAGCAGACTAGTTTGATACAAAAGAGGCATCTGTAGGAAATGTATTATTCTCGATTTAGTAACGAGTCTCACTGACTCACTATTCTCGATTTTGAGTGAAGATGTTCCATTATTTACAGTATGCCCGTTTGATTTTAAATCTCTCGAAGTTCTCATTTTGAATAACATATGAAATAGACAAAACGACGCTATTCCAATTCCAGATATTATTAAGGATACATCCTACAACAAATTGTAAGAAATTAGTTACCTACTCATTTACTAGAAAATGTTAGAGTGATTTATACAGCCATGGCCAAAAGTATTAGCCACCCTAAAAATTCTTAGAAATTTCTTATCTTGTGACCTGTACTGGGTCTATTGTCGCATAGTACACGTCTAATGATTAAAATGAGCCAATCAAAACAACGCATCATGTCATAAAACTATAAACACAATAGAGGCGACTCATTTCCAGGTAAGTTGAATTTTATGGACATTTTTAGTTTTTTCATATATCATGAAAGACATTTCATCATAGTATGAAAAACTGTCGACAAATTATTATAAATTGCTTGTTGTTTTACAGTTCATAAAAAAAAAAAAACTACAAAATAAGCGCCGTGAAGTAACGAGGAACGATTAAAAATCCAGTTGTTGTCTAAAGAAGGCAAAAATAAAAGTGAATTTGCCAAGATTATGAAATGTCCTCATAAGTAACATAATGTATACCTTAAATCAGTATAAGATGATCACAAGACACGAAAACTAGAAAGTGGAAGGAAAAGAATTGCATCTGCAGGAGAAGACAGACAATTAATGTGAAGGAGAGGGAGACTGTATAAAAGTCGATTGTTTGGGTACTTCTGTTCCATTTGTGTTTTAACTGTAAAGCATTTTTTTTTTGTATGGCTGTGTTTCGGTTTGAAGGGTGGGATAAGACGTAAATTTACAGGGTACAGAAGAATAACACCTGAGTCCTCAGGAATGGCAACGCATGGGGGGTATCATTGGCAAAACAGTATACTCTGTTATGTCCATGGTACTGCTCATGTCTATAGGCGACGGTTACCACTTTCCATCAGGTGGGCCGTCAGCTTGTTTGCCATTCTAAGTTGTATAAAAAAAACTTTGAAAAATTGTAAGAAGGCATCTTCTGAATTGGCTACTGAACTAAACCAGATTCTGGAGAAAAAGCTATTTGCTAGAACTGCTACAAGAAGGCTCCAGGATGCTGGACTCAAGGATTGCAAGGCAAGGAAGAAGCCGTGATTGTCCAAGAAGATCTTGATCTTGCGTTTGCAGTGGTTTTAGAACATTAACATTACACCGAGGAAGATTGAGCGAATATTGTTTTGTCTGATGAATCCAATTTTGCGGTATGTCATTTCAATGATTAAACATTTATTAAAGATGTTTTGAATATATTGAAGTTAATGGTTAAATAACAGGCGTATTTTCAAAAATCATATTATTTTATTAAATTTCAGTTATTTGGTACTACAAGTGCCACCTACGCGAGACACAGAGTTGGCAACAAATTCATGCTGGAGTGTGTGGCGCCAACTAAAACAGGGTGGAGGCAGTGTTATGGTCTGGAGCTGCATGTCTGTCTCAGGAATTGGAAAAATGATCACGTGTAAAGGCCGAATGGATTCGAAAAAATGTATCGAGGTGTTGAAAAAAGTGCTGGATATTGAATTGAATATGAAGTTCGGTGATATGAACCTAGATGGCCTCCGTTTCAATAGGACACTGCCCCATGCTACAATTCCAGAACTACTACGAGTTGGTTTGAGAAAAATCGTATAAAGCTTCTAAGTTGGCCCCCTCAGTTACCGAATGTTAACCCTATCGAATATTTATAGCCGATTTCAAAACATTTGATTACTTACAAAAAAATTTCAAAGAATTGTTTGATACAAGAGCGGAATGCTCTAACTCCAGAAGAATGTAAAAATTTAATTTCCTCTTTATCCAAAAGAATAAATGCTGTAATTAAAGCGAAGGGTTTAAATACGAAATATTAATGTAATTTTAGCATTAAAGGTATTTTAAGTACATGGTTTTTATTTTCCCCGACCAAACCTTTATTTTTTTAAATTAATTGTAATTTTCTAAGATGGCAAATACTTTTGGCCAAGGCTGTATAAGTTCATATAAGGTTCATATTAAGGAATCCTTATTTAGATAAAAATACAATCTGTTAAATAAGTATGAACTGTTTTCTATTACCCTGAATTTATAGTCATCTGTTGGTCCAATAAAGGTGCTATAATTAGTCGCTCGTAGTACCACCCACGTAATAAGGTACACCATCAAGCTCGATGTAACTGAAGCCATATATCTGTAAAAGCCATATTCTATTCCTTAACTCTAAATTAAGTATACTAGAAAGGGATTTTTACCAGAGGAAGAATTTGTACAAAGGCGTCAATGTGAATACCTACCTATCTTTATTCCACTGAGGAATAATTAATAATGTAGTCTTGAGAATCGTAATTAAAGGGATTGTTAATAACGGAGTCTAATAACCTTATTGCTAGCAAAATACACTATCAAGTCCTCGTGGTTCGCCTTGGAAATGATCATGTTTAATTCTTGATGAATTCATTACGATACGGTATAGCACGATACGGGCCAACTGACCTGCTTTCATCCTCACCTATTATCTATCGCTGGTATCCAGTCAGCGTATACCGATAGCGTAAACGCAGTTACCATTGCTATTTCATTGGATATATTTATATGGATGATCCATAAAAAAATTGCCGTGTTTGTATGGTTGTATTTCAGTTTGAAGATTGAGATACAATAGTATATTCAGTGATGTCTATGAAGCTTTGCTGTTCTGTCAATAGGCGACAGTTTCACTTTTTATTAGGTTTAATCAGCTTATTTGCAATTTGTAGGCACAAAAAGTCTGAATCACTGCAATATTTTAAAATGCTAGTTAAGTCTTTGCTATTAAAATATGTCTTTAACATCATTTCGGTCATTCAATGTCAACCGCAAAACATAAGCTTACGTTACTGCCATAGGAAAAGTTCCAAATTGTATCTACTACTACTTATAATAACTGAAAAAAATAAACGAAAAGGTGATTAATTTTTCGCTTCTACTCGTTATTGCGTACATGGTTGGCGAGTGTACACACAATATTAAAATAACACCTTGTTGTTAAATTAAAAATATGTGTATATAGGTATGCCTGCTTAGAAAAACAAATAATCTAATCCGTCCACTGCTGAACATAGGTCTCTGCCATAGACTATCATGAAGAAATATTTTTTTAGGACTGTTCTTCATGATAGTCTATAGGAGACCATAGACTATCATGAAGAACAGTCCTAAAAAAAATTATTATTTCAAATTATACGCTAGTACCTTATATTAGTACCCAATTTAATTTTATATTTTTGCCTCTACCTCTATTTTGTAGGTATTACAGGGAATTTCCTAATAACTTGTTAAATGTTGAATTACATCTGAACTTATAGATTATTATTATAGTTTGTTACCTTATAGATGTTAAATCAGAACGGATTTGAAGATCGTCTGTTATATCTGGTATCATAGCCAGGTGTGAAATTTGCACTATTGCCCATCCAATTTGGAAAAAGATAATGAGTGACGCGTAGTAGGATGGCATCCACCATGCAACATTCGCACTAGTTTCAGTGGCAGAGCAACCCCAACATCTTACGAATAATAGTGGAAATGTACACGTTACTATTATGGAACCTAGAAAAAAAATTGTTATATTTTATACCTAAATCTTATAAAGAGTTCCGTACCAAAAAGGTAAAAAGGAACCCTTATGGTGCAAGTTTCCTGTTCGCCCGTCCATCTGTCATAGCGCTATATCTTGGCGACTACTAATGATATCGATTTGAAAATTTGAAATAGTTTTACATGTTATTGGCCTAAACATTTGTAATCGAAATAATTGAAAACATATTTTTCAGTACTCAGAATTTCAAAGTGGACTTACTAGTCCAAGTGGGATATATGAAAGGCCTTCATTAGTATATTTTTTTTTTAAACTAATTTTTATTTATTCTTACGTTGTATAGTTTTTAAATTATGATAGAAAATGTGAGAAAAGAAGCCATTCCCCTTATTTCCAAAATTTGTGTAGCAAGTCTGTAAAAATTATGTTTAAAGTTGGCATTCACTAAAAAGTATGTTCCCAAAAGAGGAATGGAAGACAAAGCGCGGGCGAAGGCGCTGTAAAAAGTTAAGTTGGATCCAATAAATCGAATACAACAAAGAATCCCGTTAGATAATTTTGTTTATTTATTTATTGAAGTTTAATACTTAATGTAAAAGAAAATTTGTTTTTAGTAAAAGAAACTTACCAGTTAAATGCCAATTCTTTTTAGTCCCGTATTTGTCAGCCAGCATTCCTACTGCTGGGGTAGCAAGCGCGTCTATTACTTGTCCTGGAATTACCAAGTAGTTACCAGTTTACCAATGTATCTATGCAGTTATATAACTTATTAGCACTAATTCACTACATCACTTAAAGATGCTAGCGGAAATATCTCTCAGGCGCTAACGGACTCTCATTATGTGTTTAGGCTTATAGGTTCAAAGACTGGCAAGGCAGGGAGATGGTATGTGTGTGTAACATTATAGTTAATTTTAAAATTTCACGTTCTTTACACATTTTTTAAATTCGCAATCGGGACTTAGCACGACCCGATTATCCTAATATTATAAATGTGAAAGTTTGTTTGTTACCTTATAGCACCCTACGGGTTATCTGATTTCTATGAAATTTGGTATACACGTAGTACTAGTATATGGGATGAATATAGGCTACTTTTTATGTCAGTCAACGAACATATCCTGGTCATGCGGACGAAGTTGTGGGTAAAAGCTAGTACTTATTAACCGAGTCGCGTTAAGTCTCGATTGTGAATTTAAAATACAGTTTAGTCTTTTAAAATTGACAATACATAGTGGTATTATGGGAGTCACAGTGTGTTCTGTGATGTCTGCTATATGAATATTTTTTATGTCTATAGACCACGTCACGTTAATCACTTTCTCACAAATGATTTCATAGTTTGTTTACAATTCCTAGTTATATTAAAATTTTGTTTAACCTATGGCTTGTTAAATGTTTGCTAATTCTAAAGATTATTTTGCTTGACTCATCAAATAGAAGGCAACTGTAAAATGTATATGATATCATACAAAAAATAATACAATATAGACTGAAACTCTACCATGACACTATTATTCTGTATTCTTTCTTTAAAAATATTAAGGTAAATATTTTTGATAGTACCTAAACATGTAAGTGTGTATACTGTTTAAAATTATGTAACTTAATTTTTATTTATTAATGTTATAAATAGTGAAGCAAAATAGTGTTAATAAAAATATCGATACGAGCATCGATTGAAGTTTTGACTAAGCTGAAGAGCACTGGCTTTGGTAAAGCGAAGAATGTGCAGGATCCTGTCTGTTTCGATTTTTTAATTATAAAATTATAGTTGGAATATGGCTTTCAGACTTCAATAATATTTGTTTAATAAAGAAAATTACCTAAAAGAAGCATGGCTCCGGCAACTACAGCCCTCATTTCGAGGACAGCTTGGAAAAACAGCATCATATAAGAGAACCACATTGCCGCACAGAGATCATTGTAAATATGCCCCAGCCCGTACACCAAGTTCTGATTGATCCACCACCATCGTCGGCGTCGGCACAGTTCACTGAAATATTAATTTAAACTCATTAAGTAATTATTTTTATTCATACTTATGTAAAACACATTTAAATTTACATTGTAACTAAAGTATCTTACAGGTATAAAATTATAAGGATATAAATATTTTAAAGGATATATACAAATTAATTCAGATAGGTAGTTTGCATTAAGTAATTATTCAAAGTTAACTAATAATCAAATGTAATAAGTATTATATTTAATATGGTAAGAAGTAAAAAGAAGCTTACACCTAATGATTTTCACGAAATATTTAGTTGCAGTTATATGCATTATGTGAACAAAAAATACATAATATCTAACTACAATGAAAATTAGACATAACTTTTAAATAGGTACTCCTTATTAGAATTCTATTAATATTATAAATGCAAAAAATTATAACGATGGATGAATAGATATTTGTTACTCTCTTACACAAAAACTCTTGAACGGATTTGAATAAAATTTGGTACACGGTTACATTATGTCCTAACTTAGCGTATAGGATATTTTATATACTGATTCACGCAAGTGGATCCGGGGGATACACCTAGTACAAAATATATTTAAGATCTTTTCAAAACACATCACGTTCAATATAAATGTAAGAAAATAGAATGAATAATAACAAAATGTGCTTTGTCAATAAAGAGTGATTAATGACTTAATGTCATTAATCAGTAAATTAAATTATTGTATTAAGCATAAATCCAATCCTACTCGTTAGTCACACTTTTTTCACACTCGTTGTCCATGCTGTTTTGCTAGTTAAATATTTCCACAATTATATAAAACTTTGCACAACAAAAGTAAATAATTTGGAACAAAATACAAAAAGGAGACAACGCCTCAAGCTTTCGTCTTTGCACTAACACGCAAGAAATTCTCGTTTTATTATTCCCTCCTTCAATTGGACCAAATTGCATGTGATATTGTGTTCTGGATTAGATAATGTTCCTGATGGGATATGTCGATTAACCGCCAGATCACCTTAAATGATTTTCTGCGACACAGTCTTCTTTTTCAGTGACCGAATTTTTTTCATTCACATCCGTTGATCCGTATTTGGAAATCATATTTAATATTTATACACTCAATTTCAATTTCACTATATATTATCATTAATAAAAATTGTTACTTGTTAAAACTGTAATTGTCAATGTTTAAACCAATTTTTTACCCTATAACGGTGTTTCAATAAGGAAATCTCATTGTTATAGAGTCTGGTATCGACTCTTTACCATAACCGCGTGTGTCGTAGTAATAGATTCACAAACGTATGGTATCGGACTATCGGCTAGCCTCTCTGATAACTAAAGTATGTAAGGAGCTTAGACGTTTGGAAATGTATCATGGCACTAAATTGAAATAGGCCCTTACATGCAAATGCACTTTGACCCGTATTTATAAAGCGCAATTGACATAGAAATCATTGTGTTTAATCAAATTTTTACTCGACATATCCGCCGGATTACATCTTGTGTATTAGTTTCAATTGTGCCTTTATAAATAGAAAGGATATAATATACTTATTATAAAATTATTTGATATTTGTTTACTACATTTTTAAATATTTAATTATATTTATTTAAGGTATTCATTTATTACGCGAAAAGTGACAGAAAAAGAATATTTAGAATCAATTGTTTCTACCTATCCCTATAGAGGTTAAGCGTGGATATATTAGTATGGATATATAAATTTGTTTAAATTTATACCGGTCGATGCCCTACTATTGTCATGTGAATACTTAGGTGACTGGACTAGACAGTGGCTTCCGTAACTATCAGGTTACCGTTCTGACCGTACCAGAGACGGATTAAATGTTGAGAGCGCCTTGGTAAGCACCTCTTCGTCGCCCCTCTAGCTTGCCATATATTATAAATTTTAATTAGGACTAATCTCCTACTAGTACTAATTCAAATTTAAGTACACATAAATTTATTATTATTATTATTAATGACTGAAGTTATGAACTATTTATTTAAAAATTGACACTAATCACTTTAAATGACAAAAAAAGTTCGAAGTTTCTGCATCTACATTTTTGTCTTGCGAAATTGTCAATAATACCGTTATAGTTTAAAGATAGCAATAACTGATTAAATATTGAGTACTGCTAATGAATTTATTCTTTTATCTGTCATGGCTGGAAGAAGACAATTTTTAACTCTTTTATTCCTTACCGTGCACGATTTATCAATAACTTCCACGTTATTATCATGTAATTATACTGTTCGCGACATTATTTGTATATATGTAATCGTGATTTATAGTTGTTAAGTCCCTAGTTTAATCGTTCTTGTATACTGTTATTTTATATAGATTTTACATAGATTTAAGATACCTATAGTGTAAGTTAAATAAAGTATTCCTTTGTGTGTTGTCATTATTACCTACAAATAGAAATAGAAATTGTAATAATAAATAGAACTAAGAAATTGTAAATTGTAATAAATAAATAAACGCTATAGGGTACCGATCTGAAGAGACACGCGTCTCGTTCATTCTCGCCCCGTCCCGCTCACACAGATTCGCTAACGCGAGTTGGAAATGTTATCGTGCGAGCGGGCGGGTATAAAGATAGGCCGCCTCCCGTCGAGCGGCATTCGCTTCCGGGCAGCGACGCACTACACTCGAGAAGAAATAGGACAAGAAGAAAAAATACTCTCTTCAGACGGTACCGGAGGCTTCAGAATAGTAATCGCTGTGTTTCACTCCAGCCTGAACCAACGCCCCTACAGTCCACGCTCACCGAACGGCAGTCCACACCGTTCATCGTGGTCCTTCGAGAAGCCGGATTGCTGGAGGAACACCGTTGGTACATCAAGAAGCCGGATCGCTGGAGGAAGACCATTCTGAAGCCGGATCGCTGAAATGCCGACTACGAGAAACATGAAGTCGTCGCAACAAAAAGTCGCCGTCACCGAAGCCACAACGTCCGCCGCCACGTCGACTACGGCCGCCGGAACGCTGTCCGTCGCTGCCACGCCGTCCGTTGCTGCCACCACGTCGTCTGCGGCTGTCAGAACGTCATCTGTCGCTGCCACGTCGTCTACCGCCGCCACCACATCGACTACGAACACGTCCGGCGATACGACGACCACAGGAGCCACGGAGACTACCGAAGCCACAGGAACGACAGAGGAGACAGCAAGGAAGAAGGAACCGAAGCACGGCACGGCACGCACGGTTCGCACCACGGCCTCGCAGAAAAAGAAGGCTCTGGCCAAGGCACGGGAGGAGCTACTTCGAAAGGAGGTGGAATTGGCCGCTGCACGTGTCGCCGCCCTGGAAGCCGAATCAGAGGACGACGAGGAAGTAGAAGACGACGACGCTACCGTCAGAAGAGAACGAACGTCGGATTGGGTTCATCGAAGCACGCTAGCACTCACGATGGAGCCGCATGTACCAGAGATAGAAGAAGTCACCGGCAAGCGTCAGGGGTTCGTCCCATCGAGACCCGTTGAAGAGGATTCGAGAGCGCCGCCGCCACAGCCGAGCAGCGACGCACTTCACCGGGACCACGCACGCCACGTTGACCCACATGCCGCCATGCCTACGATAGCAGCAGCGATGCAGTCGATGAAGAAAGAAGAACCGGTGCTGAAGGTGGGCATCGATTGCAATGAGTTTGCGATCGCCATGCAGATGGCCGCTCGCAACATACTGCCCTCCACAGCGTCAAGAGTCACCGAGTTGCCAGTCTTCAATGGATCGTCGAGCGAGTGGTTACCATGGAAGATGGCCTATGAAGAAAGCGCAAGTCAACACACAGAACAAGAGAACCTAGCAAGACTGCGCAGAAGTTTGAAGGGGGCCGCAAAGGACGCGGCACGCTCCCTATTCGTCGGGTCTACGACCGCAGAAGAAGTGATGAAGATGTTAGCCGCGAGGTTCGGCCGCCCTGGAGCACTCGTCACAGCCGAACTGAACAAACTCCGCGCGCTACCACGACTCTCGGACAACGCAAGAGACGTCTGCCTCTTCGCAAGCAAGGTGCAGAACGTCGTCGCCACGATACGAGCGCTGAACAAGAGTCACTACCTCTACAACGAAGAAATAGTGAGAAACGTCACAGAGAAGATGCCGTCGGTACTACGCTTCAAGTACTACGATTTCGCCAACGACCAATCGGAGGGACAACCGGACCTCATAACACTCTCTCAGTTCCTGCAAAGGACCGCCGCACGATGTGGAAACTTCGCCCCCGCCGAGGAGATACCGTCCGAAGACCGGCGGGAGTCCGCTCCTAGGAAGACGGCGAAGACATACACGACGCAGGAGAAACCCGCTACACCACCGTGCCCGATGTGTCGACGAGAGGGACACGCTCCATCGGACTGCAAGACGATGAAGGAAGCAGACACATCGGCGAGATGGGAGTTAGCGAAGACTCATAGGCTGTGTTTCCGCTGCCTCAAAGTAAGAAGATTTCGCCACGCCTGCAAGAGCAAGAGATGTGGAGTGGATGAGTGCACGCAGACTCATCACCCTCTGCTGCACACCACGCGACAACAGCCGGAGAATGAAGTAACAACACACGTCGTCGAGGACAAGTCCGCCGCAGTCACCGCATCGGCAAGGGAAAACGACAAGATCGCGTTCCTGAAGATCCTGCCGATACGAGTCACCGGTCCCACGGGAACGTGCGACACCTACGCGCTACTGGACGACGGGTCGACTTGCACCATCATCGAGACGACGGTGGCGGAGCGAATCGGTGCTACGGGTCCCCCCGCACCATTCTACATGGAAGGTGTGGCCGGGGCACGGATCAACGCAGCTCAATCGACGCGTGTTCACTTCAAGATCCGCGGGCGGAATTCACAAGAATACACAGTGGGGGCACGGACGATGGACAGACTGCAGTTATCACCGCAGTCGGTACCGCGCAGCGTCATCAAGGGCTGTCCACATCTACAAGACATAGAGAGGGAGTTGGTCTACGAAGAGGGCAAACCGACGGTACTGTTGGGGCAAGACAACTGGCACCTACTGCTGGCCCACGAAGTTAGAAGAGGATCCGACACGCAGCCGGTCGCATCACTCACCGATCTGGGATGGGTACTGCACGGTACGAGTCGCGGCAGGGCAAGACAGCAGGTGCACAGAATCAGCCACATAGTGACGACACACGAAGAGGAACAATCGATGGAAGAAATGATGAAGCAACATTTCGCGCTCGAATCGCTGGGAATCGCACCGAAGAGGTCTTACAACGAAGAGGAACGTCGCGCCCTACGCATTTTAGAAGAGAAAACGCGTCCGTTACCGGCGGGAGGATACGAGACGGGGTTATTATGGAAGAAGGACGACCCTGTGCCGCCGGACAACTACGAATCGGCAATGCGACGTCTCCAACTGGTCGAAAGGAAACTCGACAAGAATGAAGAAATTAAGAAGAGGTATGAACAACAAATGGACACGCTACTCAAGAACGGGTATGCCGAAGTCGCCCCGCCACGGAGTTCCCAACGGGTGTGGTACCTGCCATACTTCGCCGTCATCAACCCACAGAAACCGGGGAAACTGCGGATCGTGCACGACGCAGCAGCCAAGACGAAGGGCATCAGTTTGAACGACATGCTGCTGCCGGGCCCCGACTTACTTCAATCGCTACCGGGGGTCCTCATGCGGTTCCGGCAACGACGGGTGGCGGTCACGGCGGACATAAAGGACATGTTCATGCGGGTCACCATACGGGAAGAAGATAGGGACATGCAACGGTTCCTGTGGCGAGGAGATCGACGAGAGGGTCCACCTGTGGAATATAGGATGAAGAGTGTCATATTCGGCGCAACATCGTCACCGTGTACAGCGATCTACGTCAAGAACAAGAACGCAGAACAGTACAAGGAAGAGTTCCCGGAGGCAGCAACGGCGGTGGTCATGAACCACTACGTCGACGACTACCTCGTCAGCTTCGACACGGAAGAGCAAGCCGTACGCGTCTCAAGACAGGTCGCACAGATCCACGGTCGAGCCAACTACTATCTCCAACGGTGGGCGTCGAACTCGCATCAAGTGCGCGCCGCGTTCTCCGACACCGGCGGGGACAGCGTGGTACAACTCGACGCGGAGAAGATACTGGGGATGGTATGGCGACCTTCTGAAGACACCTTAGGCTTCAACTTCAACGGACACAAGCTTCCGCCACAGATAGCTAGCGGGGAACAGACGCCGACGAAGAGGGAAGCGCTACGAGCAATCATGTCGCTGTTCGATCCACTGGGCCTCGCCACTCCCATCACCATACAGGCGAAGAAGATACTGCAAGAGACGTGGCGTACCGGTATCGACTGGGACACCGAGCTGCAACCACGGGAAGCGGACGCCTGGCGGAGCTGGATGGACCACGTGCGACGGCTGTCCGCGCTGGAGGTGCCGCGGTGCTACCCGGAGGTAGCCACGGCCGATACAGCGGAGCTGCATACATTCGTCGACGCCAGCTCGGACGCGTACGCCTGTGCCGTGTACTGGCGGGCCGTAAGCGCGACCGGCGAGGTCCACGTGTCGCTGATCGCGGCAAAGGGACGAGTGGCCCCACTCAGCAAGGTGACCACGATACCGCGACTGGAGCTGCAAGCGGCCGTCCTCGGGTGTCGCCTATCGCGCACGGCAGTCGAAGA